AACATTTCAGGATTTCCTCCATTTTAACTTTCAGTGGTCGCATAGTATTCAATCTTATACACCGTACCATAAATGACTTAAATTTTTATTTCCCACTTTGCTGAATAATTATTGTTTAAACTTTTTGGTTTCCATGAGAAACATGGAGCGAAATGTCCTTGTATATGAATTCCTTTTTAAGGAACTATTCCCATAAGTGGATTTGTTGAATCAAAAGGATTATAGAGAAATTAAGAACATATCTTTATCAACCTACTTATCTATTTATAGATTACCAATTTATAATCCCATCAGAAGTGTGTTGGAGTGGCTTCTTCTTTATACCCTCACCAAAGCTTTCAATTCAAATATTTTTGCCAATGATTGTTGATAACTATAGCTACCTTAAAATGTGCATTTCTTTATCAGGAACTGGATTTCATATTATTTAAGGAGAATGTGTAAGTCTGAAATTTAGCCAAAAAATATTCTGGTGCCTCCACATTGCCTAGGGTGCCCTAAAATGCACATTATCTTGGCTGATAAGCTTTTTATTAAGCTTGCAATACAAGAACCTGGTCAATCTCTAAATATTACATTTACCTGAAAGAATAACGAGAGGTGTGTGTGTGTGCACACACACACTTGTGTGTCTGTGTGTCTACATGTGTTGGTAACTACACTCAAGGGGGTCCTTACTGCCTTCTGTCAGCTGTAATGGAATTAAATAGCTCTGATAAGAAACTGTCAAAATGAAATGTAATTCTGAGAACACAATGGCCTGCCACAAAAAAAATATATACTTTTAATAAAATGGAATAATCCAATTTTACTTAGTGAGTAAAATGCCTATTAAAACACAAGGCTACCTCTATGGCAATGGAAGGATGACACTTAAATGGTAGTGAGAGGTAAAAAAGCATTTAAAAGGGAACCCATAACCTTTGTTTACAAGCAATTTTGGATCCATGTTCTAGACTCCATGTTGTTTTTTTTTTTTTAAATATTTTTATTGATTTCAGAGAGGAAGGGAGAGTGAGAGATGGAAACATCAATGATGAATCATTAATTGGTGCCTCCTGAACGTCCCATACTGGGGATTGAGCTTGCAACCGGGGCCTGTGCCCTGATTGGGAATCAAACCATGATCTCCTGGTTCATAAGATGAGGCTCAACCACTGAGCCACGCCAGCCAGGCTCCATGTTGTTGTTGTTGTTTTTTTTTTTTAATAGCTAAGGTTGCTGTTGACTTAAATTGTGTAATAAATGTGCTAGAAAGTTGACATAATGAAGGAAATGGATTACAGCAGTTTTTAAAGAAAAATGGGCTGAGCAGTCCCCAAGGTGCATGATCTCACTGTACCCAAATCGGCTGTGACATTTCAAAGAAAGAGTAGGCGGATGGGGGCAAGGGGGATTGTTCCAGGCAAGTCAAACTGTATGTAATTCCCACAATCTGTGTTGTGCTCATTTCTCTCTCTGGGTGATGGGTGTCTCAGTATCACTGCGATTCTGCCCATTCATCCCAATTACAGAAGGACCAGGATGTGACCACCGGGCTGAGCTCTCAGCGCCTTCAAGCAGGCAGCCTTTACCGTGAGGAAGGCTAGGTTTTTTTTAAGGCTTGACAACACCACAGCAAATTATTTTCAGATCCCTATGTGATTAGTAGAAACTGCAGGTTACCAATAGGCTGGACCATATGCCTTTAGATTTGCAATTTGCTTTTCTGCTCATTGAGAGAAGCCTAAATTCTTGTTTTCTTATGATCCTTGGCCTGATCTCAGAGGAATTAAGAAGCATTTCTTTACTATGAGGCAAATAGCTAAGAGAAGGGGAATTCTTCAGTTTCTTAAAGTGTAGCATCCAGGCTCTTTTTTCACACTGACCACACTGCTACATTTTTCTGTTCAGTAGTAATGGCTAAAAAATGTTCTGAGATTACCTGAGTTTAGCAATAGGCATAAGCCCGTTTTATGTATGAGTGGAATTCATCTTTAAAACTGTTGAATCAGGGAATGTTAGGTAGGTCTTGACCACCCTCCAAATGTAACATTTAAATGTGTTGATGGTGTGAGCAGAACCCATGACTTGCTTCAATCAGCAGAGTATGGCAAAGGTGGGAGGAAGCTGCTCCCGATTATGCTGTCTGACACTGTCTGGCTGGGAGATCCTTCCTTTCTCCCTCTGTTGTCGGCTTTCCAGAAGCAAGCTGTCCAGGGTCTCGTGACCATGAGAAAAAGCATTCTGCGAATGGCTGGAAAAAAAGCATGGAAGCAAGATCTTCCCGGTTGCAACCCAACCTCAGCCTTGCAGAGGACCCAGAGAAACCACACCGCCATGTGACCTGCAGAAACCTAGATAATGAATGTGTGCTGTGTTAAGCTGCTACTTCCGTAGTAATTGGTTCCACAGGAATGGAGAGCAGCTGCAGGTTTTGGTGTTAGACAGGGGGCTCTGCTGTCACAAGTGCACAAACACGTGGCAGAGGCTTTCACGGCAGTGCGTGGAGGCTGGGACGTTCTGAAGAGCGGCAACAGAGAAGGAAAGAAAGCTGAAAATGTATAACTTCCTTGATAACGTGTCAGTTTATAAAAATGAACACTTACAGCTGTGGACAGAAAAACGGGAACACACTGGTTTTGTTTTAAAAGAGTAAAACTGGTACAACCTGAAGGACACACACTAAGCAGATTGGGTGCAGGGTCCTGGGGATACCATTTCAAATCAATAAAGTGTTAATTTTTCTCAACACATTTTTGTTTGGTTTCAAACACAATGGAAAGGATGTTTTGGTTCCTAAAATGAACACTCAAGTGTTGACAGTAAGGACAAGCTGATAACACCTTCAGAGGGAAATGATAAGAATGCAGTAACTTCAATAGGACCAAGGATGTGATCAAATCTAACAATTTCATGGGAATTTTTTTTTTTTTTAAGTTTAAGAGTTAAAAAAAAAAAAAAAAAAAAAAAAACAACTCAGAAAGTTAGGTAAAGCATGACATGGTAGGAAATGCCAGCAAGTACCAAGTTGGCAGTTGGTAACCAAACGTCTTATTCTCCGCCCCTGACATGCAAGGAGTTTGACGCGGATGAGCTGCGGGCACACACTGCGTGGGCCTCTGTGGAATGCTCGTGGGTAACCTGTTCAGCCACGGAGCTGACATGAGCAAGAGGTGGCTCTCGGTAGGTTAAAGGTAGTCAGAAACCTGGTGATGTAACAGAGGTTCTTTTCTTATAAAAAAGTCAAAATTTTGAAATTGAGATTCTGTACTTTGTAAAAAGGCCTTCGTAGGCAACCATTTATATATGTACTAGAGGCCTGGTGCACATTATTCGTGCATGTGGGGGGGGGGAGGGTTCCCTCAGGCTGGCCTGTGACCTCTCACACACAGTCCAGGAGCCCCATGATCGATCACCCCAAAAGGTAGGCCCTGACCACCAGGCTGGGCATTGTCCCCGCAGAGGAAGGCCCAGGCTACCTGCTGTAGTGCTGCCAGCCAGGTAGCCTGGGCCCCCCTCTTAGGAGTGTTAGATCAAGCCCCACAGAGGGAGGCCCTGCCCACTCACTGCAGCCCGCTGGTCAGTGGCCTTGGCCTCCTTCTGCAGGGCGATCATGGAGTGATGGCTGGGCCCCCGACCAATAGCATTGCACTCGCCTTGGCTGGCCTAGCGCAGTGCGTGACATAGCATGGTTGTTCGGAAGGTCATTCTGCTGTTCAGTTGATTTGCATACTATGCTTTTATTATTCTAGATTTTGCTCCCCATCTCCAAAACTTGAAACAGTCCACACAGTATGTCATCATATGTACACTTTTTATCATACAAAGACAGGCTAGCTCTACAATGCAGATGAATAAGGCCTCTGATGTTGTCTGGGCAAACCACATAGAATACTGAAATTAGTACACAGAGAATGCATTTACCGTTTTTTATTTCGCTATGCAGAAACATACATTCACCATGGGCCGAGTGATGCAGTAGATAGTGTAATGGAGAATATATCTTTTTGAAGTCTATTTATAACTAAACAGTAAATAGCTTAATTACAGTGGAAATTCTGTACAGTTTAAGGCTTGGCTCTGAACTAAGTTGTAAATATGGACCAGATTTGGAAATAAAAGTTTTTTTTTTTTTTTAAATAAAAGAAGAGCAATTAAAAAACATAAGAAGAAATGAAGATAGGAAAAAACAAAATAAACACCCCAACAGTGAAATTTAGAATATTGTGAACTAATAAAAATACATATTTTCCCCCCCAAATAATGACAATTTACATATTTAGGATCTGATAGGGAACTCTGGAAATCTTTCAAGATTGAACGCAGACCAAAGTGGATGACAAGGAAGAAATCACATTAATATGCTAAAATCAGTACTACCTTATAATGAATTAAATTACACAAAGCAGGACTGGAAGCATTAAATATTTCCAGAGGATCAGAGAGTCATCACTGTTTATGGGTTAAGAGTAATAAAACCAGGTGAAACAAGTACAAGATTCAAGTGTTGACTGAGGGGACTCGGTTATTGGCACATCTAATCTGGGATAAACCTGACACAGTGGACCTAGACAGCTTCTAGCATTTTAGGGTAATCTTCATTTATCTGTAAACAAAAGATCTGTCACCTAAGAAACTGCAATTTTGTTTAGACTTTAATGATAATAAACTATAAAAGGCATGGATTGGTTATGTGTTACATGAGATCACGGTTTATATTGTTGGTTATGAACGTGCAGGTATAGCTGAAAACTTAGACACTTTGTGAAAATTAAAAATGCTGCTCTTTTTGTAATTTTATCGTTGCTTCATGCAATATCAGTTTAGTGCTGCTGATTCGGATTGCTTTATTATGGGAAGATTTCTCTGCCAGTGTCTTTAATTAACGGTCAAGGTTTGTTCTTCTGGATTGAAAGTTTCCACGGGCAGATACAAGTCAGTGGGGTGAGAAGAAAGAATTCCAAATAGGCTCTGGTTTTCCTAATGGTTTGCATGACTGGATTCCTGTGCAGGCTAAGTTATTCCTGTAGAAAAGAGAGTTGGTCAGTTATGCATTTGAAAGCACCCAACATCAAGGTCAGAAGAAAAATATCTTGCAGGTTATCCAATGCTCTTTTTTTTTTTTTTTTTTTAAGTATTTTTTATTGATCTTTAGAGAGAGAGAGAGAAAGAAAGACAGATAGAAATATGATGAGAGAGAAACATCATTGATTGGCTGCCTCCTGCATGCCCCACACTGGGGACTGAGCCCATAACATGGGCATGTGCCCTGATCATGAATTGAACAGGCGATCTCTTGGTTCCTGAGTTCATGTTCAACCACTGAGCAACACCAGCCAGCTATTCAATGCTCTTTTTGACAAGAGGCTGTAAAATACCAGTGTAAGCCACTGATACGCTCTGTCTTAAATAACTTCAGCATCATCCAAGTGGCTGAAGCTCTGTGGAGAATTCTTTTTTGCTTTCTATCTTCCAAATTACTATCTTTCAAGTTACTTAATAATGAATCTGAGTGGTTTTTATGTTTTTCTTTAGAAGGGGTCTCTTGTCAATCTATGTTTTTTAAACCAAAGTCAGAGAATCAACTTTTTTCATTTTACACATGTAAAACATTTAAAAGACATTTATCACATAGCCAAGTGTGCAAGTAGCTCATCAGTTGCATTCAGCATTCAAAGCCCGCTATGGTGCTGAGAGCCCCACAAATGCTTGCACGGCAGGTTAGTATGCATGACAAGTCTGCGCACACACAGAGGATGCTGTTTGCTTGCGATGCCGGCCCAACAGCAGCTGAGAGGGCATGCGCTTCTTGCAGGAAAGCAGGACCATAGGACTGAATTTTTCTCCTCCTGAAATGCAATTCTACACGAGGGAGGAAAATCAACCCAAAGAATACAGGAAATATAAGGCATCCAAAATGAAAGTCAGTGTTCAGGTTTCCAATGAAAAAAACAACAACAAACCCAAAGCAAACAAAAGCATACCCAGGGTATAACCAAACACAGTCGAAGAAAAAGCTTACAATGGGATAATGTTGCCATCAAAAGGAATAAGGAGTATATTTTATTTCCCTAGTATTTGGAACACACATATTGCACCTGAGCAAGTCACATGGCAAGTAAAATCAATTTGGCCTTGCAGATTGGGTAAGGAAACGAGTATAGGACAAGGACTAAAAGCAAACGCTAGCAAGATCTTGCAAGCAAGGACTCTGCTTTTCCTTTATCCTCTAGCTGGCAGTGTCTGCAAAGTCTTCTGGATGGAACCTCCACATCTGAAATAAGCAAGCACCTGCCAAACAATTCTCCACCCTTTTGGTTACCAGCCAGCCCTGCAAATGCCAGTGAGAGGAAAAAGGAAAGGGCGGAGTCAGGTGAAAGATGAGGGGAAAGTGCCTCATGCCACATGCCAGCCGAGGCCAAGCCAAGTGAATCAGTGCCACCTCTTACCTGGGGTCAATCCTCTCCATCTTCTGGTGTGATCTCTGTCTCTTTATGGACCACTACTTTGGTCACTGACATGTCAGGGTGCTGCTCTTTGGCCTCTTTAATTGCCTGAGCCAGCGCCTATCCCCAGGAAATCACAGAAGGGCAAAGACAAAAAGGAGGTGGAACATGCATGATCAGTAGCAAGGTGGAGACTCATGAGCTAGATCTATATTCACAATTTACAAATGAGATACAATGATTGCAAAAGGAATTGGACATTGTATATTGGAAAGTCAATCAGAAAATTGTTTAGTTTACATGCTGGACTGGAAGAATAGCACTGGGAAGAACAGGGCCAACCAGTGTTTGTCTGCCCTTCTGACCGGGTATTGAACATCTGACACACACTACCTGGTCATGGTCGATGTCCGCATCGCCCGTGATGACTATTCGCTTCTCAATTCTCGTCTCTGAAATGCCTCCTTTCACAGTCTGGAAGGAAGAGACAAGTGTTATGAATTTTCCCACGTGGAGGAATAATCTTTGTTTAATGGAAGAAATGGCAGAAGATGCTGACCCAGTTGTAAGTAACATCATTCTCCCCCCCCCCCCCCCCACTAAGTTTTCAATTACAGTTGACACAGGATGCTATGTCAGTTTCAGGTGTACAACATAGTGATTAGACAGTTATATAGTTTATGGAGTTATGACACTGGTATGCCTAGTGCCCATGTGACACCATGCATAGTTATCACAATATCATTTGTTAAGAATTGAAACAGAATTCTATGGCAGTTATTTTAAATTCTTAATTTCAGAAACAAGGATGGAATGGAACCCTTTGGATTTGGCTGGCCAGTGCTTCTGGAACACCTATCATGTGCCAAGCATTAGTGTCAGGTAAGCAAAGGTTATCAGACCATATATTCCTGAACCGAACTAGCTCAGGAGGACAAATATACCATAAATACAGCAGTTGAGAAAGCTCCAGTGCAGCTATCCTGGCATAATGAGAGTCACATAACTATCTGCATATACAGCCAAACCTAGAAAACGTTCCGAGGGAAGGCTTTACTTTGGTGATGTGGGTGGTGGTGGTGGAACAGGTGGTTTCCGATGTGATTGTCTGTGCACTCATTAGCACACCGGGCTCCAAATCAGCACTAGGATCAACCTAAGCAAGCAAAGAATAAGATACCACACTCAACTCTTCACATTACCTCTCCAGATGTTTGCAGTTAGTTTAGAGCATTATGGGGCTTAGTTGTCTCTCACAATCACTGTGCACCTCAATCAGCATCTGGCAGCTGCCAGTATGGCTAAAGACTGACCCAGATGTGGCCAGAGTTAACCATCTACACTAATAAAAGAGAAAGATGCAAATTGATCGCACCTTAACAATGCCCAACAGCCAATCAGGAGTATGCAAATTAAGCCAACAAAGATGATGGGTTAATTTGTACACACAGGCTCTGAGTGGCTGGGGCCAGGACACTTGAATCGTTGCCATGGCGACAACTCAAGCTTTCTGCACTGCCCCAGCCACTCTGGGCATCTGGGCAGTGTGGGGAGGTGGAAAGGCAGCTCCTGGCTGAAGCAAAGGCGGTGCCAAAGCCAGGGGAAGGAAGACCCATTCTTGCACAAATCTTTGTGCATCGGGCCTCTTATCATTAATAAAGCGGCGACTTCAGAAATGAGAGCAGTGGCTGCTTGGGTTAATATTTTCCTTATTGATGGCTATGGAAATAGATGTCTGGGCCTTTTTCTACCTTTTGAGATGTAGGAGGACTTGTTTAAGGTGTCTGCTACCCCACAATCAGTACTAAACCGACGATTATTGCATCACTTTTAACAGACTGGCTGCTGGGTCCTCTGAGTCTCACAAATTGAAAATTATGCAGTTATACTATATAAACACACTCAGCCATGAAAGGGATAGAACAGAGTGCCAGGCTCTGGTCTTCACAGACTCTTACCTCTGAGGATTCGTATGTTATGGTTTTGGTTTCTGTGTGGACGACGGGCAGTTCCTTGGTAGAAATTTCGAGCTTTGATCCTCCTGGTGACACACTGCCAAAACTGATGGTTTCTGTCTTCACAGTGGATGACTGCACCAACGGGAAGTAGGAGAGTGGCTATTAGTTTGTACAAACACAGTTTTGTTTTTTTTCCCTCCCCGTCTGGTGGATGTATACAAGCGCAGGTTAGTGTGAAATAAATGTTTTCATATTCCATGAGGTTAGGGAAGTTGGGAAGTAAGGCACACCACAGACCATGTCCAACAGTCTCCCAGAATTCCACAGCATCTTTATGTGGAATGTTCCAGGTAAAGGAAAACATTTTGAAGGACATAAACTATTTTTTTGTCCCCCTTCCTTGATCTCATAAACTAATCTTAATAAAAAAAAATCATACATTAGCCTTTTAAAACATATGAACTTCTTAGAAAGGAACAAGTAATAAGACATAATTCCCCTGCTCCCAGTACTTTAAGAATTACAAGGAAACAGGATAAAGGATCAAGTTCTGATATGTGGCATCTGGGCAAGCATGGTTTGTGGTCCTTCAGGATTACATTGATCAGAAATCAATTTATCAAATTTTCTAATATCCAGGCTGGACATGCACTTCCCAGGTTTACTACCAATTATAATAATTGCAGTAAGAGCAGAAACCACTTCCTGGAACTACATATTATTAAGAATCGTTATATGTGTTTGCAGGAGACCCATAATTGCCATGCACAACAGAAATAAGAGGAGAAACAAAATGCACTTGAAAAAGATAGAAAGTTAAAAATTAGCTCCATCTTTATGCTTAACTAAATTTCAAGGACTCAAATAAGTTTACATTAGTGCTAAAAGTAAATGAACTACTAGTTACCTCAAAATGAGGTTTTTGTTCCAAAGTTTCAGAAACGTGGACCGTTACACTCTGCTCCTCCTCTGGCTCCCGGGAAGCAGTGGCCGTTTCTTCCTGTTCCGGGACAGCTCTATCGGCCACCTTCCCTTCCTCCTCCTTAGCCCCTTCCGTCAGCGCAGAGCCCTCCGTCCCTTTAACGCTAGAAGCACCAGCAGATGCTGCCTGTGCTGCAGCATCCACGTCATCTCCAGCCGCGTAAGAAGCATCCCCACTTGCATGCACATTCATCACACGTCTTTCCTCCACCACCACCATTTCCTGAACAACCTTCTCTGTGCTAAGAGGCTGGGCGGGCTGGGTTGTTTCGGCCTCCGTTTCACTGGACTCCACCTTGGTTTCTGTTTTCTGTATGGGGAAAGACTGCGTCAGTGCGACTTTCCATAAACCAAAGGTTAAAAAACCCACAAAAGACGCCACTCACCAGGATGCCCAAAGCCAATGTGAAGTGCTTATAACCATAAACACTTTAGGAAATATAAATGAGCTTCATCCCTCCCACCAGAATCTTTGACGCCCGCCCTCTGCCATGTCATACACATTAGAATCTGTGCTGCTACTTTGGTATATCCGCAAAAGAAACAAAACACAGTGCAAAACACAACTTAAATAATAAACAACCACCACCAGCAGCAAAAAACCAAACAAAAGAAAAAATTTTTTTTTTTTTTTTTTTTTTTTTTTTAGCACATGCACATTGGTTTGGGTTGCTTTCTTAGACCTAATAGGTGACATAAAATGGTTTAGAAAATTGAATGCCATTAAAACTTCTCATCACCATTGCCTTTTGAGTATCTGAAGTATGTTCTTGTAACAGAAACAAATGCCTATGACAGGCACGCCATGCAGGCATGATGGAAAAGAACTGAGGGCACCTTTGAGGTGTTTGAGGCAAAGCTCACTCAGGTGCCACACACACACACACACACACACCAAACAGGCATAAAGCAAGCAAGCAAGGCCAAACAGCCAGAGTCAGAAGCCACGGATGGAAGCGAAGGCCACCTGAACCCAGGTCTGAGAAGAGGACGTAACCCCTCCTATGAATTCTGTCGGTTTTCTCGCAGACTCTAATAAGCTGAAGATTTCAGAGCCATCCATGAGCTTTTCACCAGAAGACTGCTTAGTCTGAGAGAACAAAGAGAGGGAGAGTCAAGCACAGAGACAAGGACCGAGGCAGGCGCACAGGACATTCACAGCTGGTTAGACAGCGCTGGAGGCGGAGGCGGGAGGAAGGACTACCGGAGACTTCGGGGACGGAAAAGAATGGGAGCTAACACAGCCAATCGAGGTGGCCACGAGCTCTTGCTGGGTGAAGCAGAGAGAGTTATTAGGGTTAGGGAGGCGCTGGTTTAAGCGGATTATTTCCCCCCCCCCCCCGCCCCCTTCTTGCAAGCCACAGCAGCACTTATTGCATCTCGGGAACGGGGCGCTGGAAACAAAATGAAAAGTGTTTTAACACTCGCTGGACTGCAGGATCGACTGGACCATGAACCAAAGTAAAAAGCTCGGGTTGGCTACTCTGAACGGAAAGCCAAACAGCAAGATCAACGGGAGGGTTCGGGGTGGAAGGGCACTGGGCCATGCTGGCATCGGGAACAGCGGCTGAACGAAAGGCGCTGGTTACCACGACTCTGGAGGTAGCAGACTCGGTAAGGTAATGAGCAGTGGTGACGCTGACGGCCGGCTCCTGGGAGTACCTCCACTCCGACAGGCTCTTCCTTCGGGGACCAAAGAGCCCCACTTTCAGGGCCTCCCCCTCCTGGGTGTGCTCAGCGTGGCTCCACCGCACGCTGCCCAGGCCCCCATGCAGAGCCGTGCCCTCGCCCAGCACCCGGGCCCGGCTGCTGCCATCCTCCTCCTCCTCCTCCTGTGGGCTCTGCCTCCGGGACTCGGCTTCCTGGATGGGAGCCAGGGACTCGGACTGCCTGCGCTTCGGGGTGTGGCCCTCGGATGCTCGCTTGGATGTCTCATCTGCGATGGCTTCCAGGACCTCGTACTCGGTCCCCACGGGGGTGGCCTTCCTGGGCTCCATCTTCTGGAAGACTTCAAAGCCCGAAGGCTGCACTCCCTTCTCTCCCTCCTGGGCTTTCTCCGTCATGGTCACGATCCTCCCGGACGCAGTGTCATAGGACTTCCCCAGGGCGTGTATCTGCTGGGTGCTTGCTTCCTTTGATTGCATTTCCTGGGCCAGGTCGTGGAAGCTCTGCATTTCAAGGGTACTAGAGCGTAACAGGTCGGCGGCGGAGGCGGGGATGTCACCACTTCTACTGCTCATGGTCACCACCTTGTAAGTCACAATCTTTTTCGAATCACCATCAACTACCTCAGTGGGTATTTTGTCTACAAAAACCCAGTCCTCTGTGCCCTACATGTGGAATATAAACGCTAAGTTAGAAACGCTTGATGGCATCTCATTTCTATTAAAACAAGAACCCTTTAAGAAGATCAGGACAAAAAGCTACACTCGTGTGACTGTGCAGGCTGGCGCCATCTAATAATGACCGCTGCCATCTCTTCTCGTAGGAAATGTGTAAGCTCTAACCTTCAGTTCAGAATACAGTCTGCATGTGGAGCTGCAATGTCAGATTTCTAAGTAGTAAACATACTTTGGTGGTAAACTCTGCAAGAACTATATCTGATAGTATGTTAGACATCTACATGATTCTATATTTTAACATTAAATGATATAACCGTGAAGTGGTTGTGCAGGTTATTTAGCTTTACTTGTGTTGACACAAGAAGCCAGTTTTCCACATGAAACCTAACAGTGCATTCATATCTGTTGGTCTCAAAACAAACTTGCCAGCATTCCACAAGTTTCTGGGGATACACTTGCATGTCTGTAAGTTATACTTCCTTATTGAGAAGGTCCAATCCATTATACCACTCATTATCCAGTAACTATTGCATGTGCCTGTGTTCAAGGCATTAGAAGGAACTATTTCCTGCTGTTGGGACATAATTGGAGTCTCTTATAAACAGGCCACGGACGCCTCTACTGCATTCCAACCTTATTTACAACTGATGTTCACCGTCTCAGGTTCCCTTGGCCACTTTCCTCCTGTCAGGGCCAGTAAGGCAGGAGAAATGAAAGTTAAGGAATGCTTGCATTTGGGAAGCCTCACAGGACGGGACCAGACAGTTGACTAGTCTAACATGTTCCAGAAGGTAGAGAAATCAAGGAGCAGGTAAGCACCTTGGTTTCCATTTTAAATTGGAATGTTTTCTACTTGCATATTTATCACTGCCTGCAAACTTGAATCTATAAATGTGTGTGTCTTAGAAAAAAAAAAAAAAGTGCAGACTCATCAGCTTGTTGGTGCTGTGTTAAATGAAAGGAAGTGAAAAATAACCTCTAGGGTCGATGGGACAGTTTTCTGGAAAATGATTTGCTGAGAGGTAACCGCAGAGTCTCCTTCCCGCAGTCTCGTTACCACACTCGGCTAGTGGGGAAACCAATAGAAATTCAGAACGTTCAAAGCCATACAAAGCCATCCAGGTTAGTATCGCATGAAGGGTAAAACAAACAGAGAAGAGTTCCAGTAATTAGAAATGCCCGCACACAGACATAACCACCTAGGACCAAAAACCACAAAGAAATGATGGCTAACTGGTAACCACTAGTACAAGGGTGAGAAAATTCCTTTTCCCCTCTCCAGAAGCGAGGCAAAAATGATATATACCTACCTTCGTTTTCAGCAAGGTAAATTTTAAGAAAGAAAACAAAAACTAAAGACATTTTAATAACACTGCAGTTTGAAGAGCAATGCTCTTTCGGAAAATTCCGTTAGGCTTGTTTTTTACCTGAGACTCAAGGAATGAAGAGCTTCCCTGCCGCACAAATATAACCTTTTCAGAAATCTCTCTTTCTTCTTTGGTCTGTTTGAATAAAGGGGGTTGGGTTGGAGAAGAGGAAGCAGACAGTTCCCAAAAAGGCAAGTTAGGAGAGAGTTCTTTTATTGTGCTAAACATATAACAGTCATTCTTTTATTTATTTAGTTTTCTGAAAAAGCAAGTTATTGTTTATTAATTTGAAAAATGGTCTGAAACCGTCTCATAGTTGAATGGTTATTTCCAAAAAGAGATGATATTCCAAAATTCTCGTGTTTGTATGACTCAAACACTCTTATTTCTACAAACACAGAGCATGCAAGAGCAATAAAAAGAGTTCCCAGCCTCAAACGGTGTGTTTCTATGTCAGACATGGGCACACCATCAGTGAGTGGGTATTAAAAGAAAATGTTAAGACGTAAAAACATTAAAGTGAGAGTAAAGCCTTGCTTCTATTTCTAAAACGTGACTGTATTCCCATGGAAGTGCTGCTACATAAAGAAACACACATGTCACTGCATTAGCTATTGATGCGAATAAACCCGGTTATATCATCTAGATCGACTTGCCTACTGTTCCACAAATAAACATAAAATATACTCAAGGTAGTAGCTTTATTTGAACTTTCATCACATGGTGAAGACTTCTGAAGAGTCATATTGAAAATATTTTGGTGAACCATTAAGTATTTCAATCATGCTTATCTTTATCATGTCACATTAAGAAACGTTCAAGTAAACAGGTAATGTTAGAACTAGTTTTTTTCCCCCCTTCTGTCTCCTTGTTATTCCTTTCTCTGGTATTAAATAGGAATAATTTAAGTGGCTATTCACTGACTACTGACCCTATCTGTGCAAAGCATGCAACTCCATACAACAGTGACAGAAAGGAAGGCGAATTTAAAAATAACTAAGTTCAAAGTTTCTAGGAGAATGGAGCTTTCAAAATAAGTTCTATTGTTGTAAACAATATAATTTTAGGAGAGCTATTTAGTGAGGAACAAGTAAGACATTTTTGAGGGAAAAATAAAATCCCTGTCCTGCCCCACTTTGAAGAAAGGTATTGGAAGAGACAAAATGTACCATGTGCAATCATTAAATGCGGATTTTTGTTTGGTTTACTTTCAATCATAGCCTTTTTTTTCAAACAGGAATAAGAAATGGGAGAGAAAGGTCAAAATTATAGGTACTTTTCAGAATACAACTGCTAGGCCTTTAATTATAATCACTGAACTAAATATTTTTTTCCTAAAATGAAAGCTTAAAAAAACACAATCAGCAGGAAAACAGGGATAGTCAGCATATCCTGTTATCTGACATCAATACATTTCCAAAAGGGCTGTGTCTATTAACTGAAAATGTCCACACTGTCTGCACTCAAAACTGGGTATGTCCAGTTGTAGAAAAGGGTAACAAATAACAAAAGGGGACAGATATTAAAATTAAGCCTTATATAAGGCCAACCCCAATCCAGTTAGTTCAGCTAACGGAGAAGAGGTACTGACAAAGAAAAGTTGATATGAGGACACTTACTAGTATAATGGTTTAGAACAGAATTAGATGTATCCATTTTGTTTAGTGACCTAAAAGTTCATCTCTGAAACATGGCTGGGAAACAAGGCCTGATGTTGGCATGCAAAATTCAGAGGTGCACTCGCTCTTGGGGGAATCAAGGGTTTCCACAGAGCTGTGATCCTCACTTCTGCCTGGGCCATGGGTTTTCAAACTAAGCTGTGCATTATGTGGCCAGCTTTTGCCGAAACCGGTTTGGCTCAGTGGATAGAGCGTCGATGTTTCTCTCTCATCGATGTTTCTAACTCTCTATCCCTCTCTCTTCCTCTCTGTAAAAAATCAATAAACCAAACCCATTATGTGGCCAGCTTTTAAATAATAGTTGATGTGTGGGGTGCACATCAGTATTTAAAAATTTCCCATAGATAGTTATAATATGTACCAAGATCTGGATGGAAAAATAAAAAAAGTTGGATTCAGAAGATGAAGGTAATTTTCTTAATCATAAATAGATGATCCCTGGTGAATGGGTTTTTGCCTAATTTGAGGTCCATCTAAGACCTGAATAGCAAAAGGAGAGCTGGACCAGAAAGCAGACAAATGCACAAATAGAATAGATTCCGATTATTCATGGTAGTTACGTTCTATAAAGTCACTATGAACAATGAACTGGAGAATGTTGAAACACTGCCCCATTGGGGACATACAGGATTAGGCTCCTGTGAGCCTCTGGTCATTATCAATACATAACCTTATCTGTATTTGTTTAAAGACCCTTATATTTAACATATATTGTTGACCCATATCAACATGGAACTTGGTCAACAGCACTCTTATTCCTAAATGAGGCTCATCCGACACTGTGGCTTTCCATAAGGCACACTGCTGAATGCAGACAACACTTCAGTCCTATGCCAGGGACCATTTTAAACAGCAAATTCACCAGCAGAAACACAAAAAAAGCAATAACGTGGCACTAAACAGGCCATGAAAAGGACACTTGTTTACCATGTGACAGCTGAACCAAGCAAGCAAAACCCTGCCTTTCAGCCTCAGCTGGAACGTATACATTGATCCACTCAAGGTTTTCACCACTCAGCCTGTCTGCTAGTGACCATGGGACCACTGGTAATACTGACATAGGGGTTACAATAAATTTTAGTGAGGAAGCAAATGTGCAAATATGGAGTCTGTGATTGAGGAGGATTCACTGTACTAAGCTCACATACCTGTAAACTCAGCCACATTAAAAAAGAGAATATTGGCATTGTGTAAGTGGCTACTTAGTTTTTGTTTTTGTAATTTAATGCAGTGTCTGCCATCCTCAGAGCCAAAATGATCTTCCTTATTCCCACAGAGGTAGTAGATAGTCAAATCTGACCAATTACAATTAACTTTTATGCAATCATAATTTAATGATTGCGATAGTCTTACTAATGTAGGGTCTACAATATTTAAATTAATTGGAATGAGACATTTTGTCTCTTGAAACTGAAGTAATCTGATGGAAATTGGTGTTTAATGGTAAAGGAATACTTTGATAATAGTATTTTCCATTTATTCTGCATAAAAGGGCCCTTTTCAAAGTAATTAAAATAGAGATATGCCTCATCAGTGTTTAGCTGGATTTGGAATTGTCATGCAGGTAGTATAGTGATTGTGGTCACTTCTGATAAATAGCTCTTAAAGTTTTAAAAGTGACCAAAATGGGTGTAATTACATTCTTTTTTTTTTTTTTCACTTTAAAGACCTAAGCATTGACTACTATTAAAGAAATTTTCTCCCATAAAGGCCTAAGTTTTAATCTTCTTCTGTTCTGTTTCAGCTTCATAGACACATATCTCACAATAATGGAGTCTTGATAAGAAATTAATCAATACAATGCGAGCAAGATGCAGTTTAAAAAACCACTTCTTTTGAAAGACAGATAAAGCAAGATGATGTCTAACTGTCGACAGATTAGTTATTCACGGGTCCCAAAATGGGAGCACCAAGTTGCTCACACCAGCTGGATCCTCCCTGCACTCCGGCTGTAATTTATTCCGAGCTTTCCTATATGGAAAGGTCTCACTTAAAAACAGATTCTGGCCTTACTTTCCTTATTAAAAATAAAAACTGGTTATACATCCATTAAAATAGCAGCCATACGTATAAAAATCAGTTATAAATAAAAATACTGCTCATACCTATAAAAGGCTGGTACAGTATTCCCAGAATAAAGTATGTCCTGAAATTCTATCAATTTCAGGTCACCAGTTAGTCAAACATTAGACAACCTCCATAGGCCTTATCTTGCAATTAAGGAGAAGCATCCATGAGTTTACAGGGCATTTCTTAATGCAGCAGCAGCATATTCAGAAAGAGTGTCAGTACCTAATTTTCCCCCAGCTGTGAAATCTAGGTTTAACAAAATAGTTGGCCATGCGTTATAATTCCCTGTGGCTCCTTGTTTACTGTTAAGCACCATCTGATGTGACCCACTTGCTCCTTAGCCACTTCATCATTTTTTTTTTTTTTTTTTTTGGCTTTTCTTTGGAACACTGAATATGGCAGCTCGGGTTGCACACAGACCAGTGGTGAGATTCTCTACTCAGAAGCTTGCCAAATCCTTTCCCCAGGTGCAGACCCTGTGGAGAAGTGATTCTAGTGAACAGAAGACAATTAATTGCAACCAACAACCTGAATACCGACCTCTTCAGGTACAAGTGGTTCTATCATGGGTGCGTCCTCCTGCCTGGCGGCTAGTCGCACTGGGGAGGTAGAAAGCCTCTTTTCCCATTCATTCATGATGGCAGTGTCTGTGGAGGTTTCTAAAAAGGTTCTTTTCAGCTCACTAATATTGGTCTGATGTTTCATCAGGTCATCTTGAGTTTTATCTAGCTCCTATATTCAGAACATAAAGAATCCAACAGTCAACATTTTACATTTATTTTCCTTTTTCCTCTCTCTCTCTCTCTCTCTCTCTCTCTCTCTCTCTCTCTCTCTCTCTCTCTCTCTCTCTCTCTCTTTTAAAGTAATGTCAATTTCATTAGTAGTCAAAACAAAAGTTTTGATCACAGCTCATCACACTACCACAAACACTGGTGAAAATGTGATATTGCCAAGGAAAAGAGAGGGAAAAAATAATCTAGTTCACACAAGCATAAATATTAAGAGTTTAAAACAGTGAACGTCAAAGCATAGAATTCACATGTAACCAGAGAGAATGAAAATAAATACACACGCAGGAAAAGAGAGAGGGAGGAAATGAGAGAAGGGTGAGAAGCCATCCCCACGTATTCACAGGCGAGAGCACACAGCACATGCATCATGGTATGAGCCCACGGGCATACCACGGAAAGAAATCAACACACACGAACATGCACTGGTATATACTCATACCAACCTCTAACATAAGATTACTATGTTTGACATACACATTTTCACCCTTTATTCGCTTAATCAGACTATTCTGAAAAAAGTGGAGAAGAAAGGGCAAGGTAAGGGACATGGGAGTCTCTGGAACAAATGTCACCCTCCACACTGCATCATCAACTACATGGCATGCTGGAAGACTGGAGCACCACCGATGGACAATGGCTTACACACACTGGGCTTTGCTATTGTTTTATTTTTCATTTTCTACCTGTGCTTTGAGCTCTGCATCTTCTTCCTGGTCCGACTGCCAGCATCAGGAAAGAGCGGGAAACAAGGTCTTACCATGCAAGCGACTCAGAGGCCGAAGAACCACCGAAGAACCACCGTCTACATTAACTTGGCTAAAAGGAGGCACTAGTTTGCTCTTGCTCACTAGAATGCCATTTCTTCTTTGCAAACCACAACATTCCCACACACAAATGACAAAGTTTAAAAAGAAAAGAGGAGTAAGAGATTCCTGCTCAGTGGGTTTTTGCCACTTTACCCTGCAGTGTAATGAGTGCACACCTATGCTTGGGAGGTGACAGCGAGGGCTCGGCAGGCTGTCCTTAATGGACATTAGAAATAGTTCGGGAAGTGTGGGGAGCCCCATTAGAATTAAAATTCATAAGAATGGCTATGATTTCCCAATAATGAGAGCTCCTCGCAGTGTATGAATCCTCATAATAATTCTAAGAGGTTAGCTATTATTATCCTCTATTTGTAGGCCAGAGAACTGAGGCTCAAAAAATTTAACACAGAGGTTCTCACATTTAAAAACCTCTTGAACTCATGTACTTAAAAAAACAATTTGGAGGGAAGAAGAAAGATATTGGGTAAATAAGAATTTTTTAAAAAAAAATAAAAACCAACTACCATCAACCATTACTTTTAAAATCAACAATTACCTTTAAAGACACAATTTTTGAGTTTTTATAATAAAAAATACAAAAAAGTTTACCTAAATGCAACTCTGTTATCCTTCCTTCCTCACCTCTCCTCATTTCAAGGACATGCCTAATCCTTGGACTGGTATCTGAGTATGAAAAACTAGGTAAGTAGGCCAAGCCACAGTCACCGAGGGCCTGTGCTACAGAGGAGCCCAGAGTAAAACTACACATGAGAAGTCAATGCCTGAGCAAGCGGCCATAAGCAAGTCAGCCCATCTGGGTCCAGATTCCCTTATCTGCCAGAGGGGTCAAGGCTGCCTACACAGCATGCCCCACCCTGCACTACTTTTATGCTGGTTCCTGGAAGAGAAGGAGAAGTGTTTAAAAAGTGTTAGAGAGTGCACAGGTCCCTCTAACACAGTGTGAGTGATGTGCTAATTCTTACGTACGTGGTAAGCTCACAGCTCTTCACCTATTTTTAAGCCTCACAAGCTACCTGTTACATGTACTGATTTTTGTGCTTCAGATGTTATACAACGAAATGTTAACTGCTTATATAAACAAAGTATTATTAAAATAGTGTTCACCTGTAGCACTTAAGATTACAGTGTAACTTATGAAATGTATATATGTAACTATTAATTTTTATAAAATAACCTGTACTTGGTTATATTTTGCCATTGAAAATGATTAACTTTTAATAAATTTACAGGATTACTTAAAAGGATATGAAAAATACTTTTACGATATTACTTTTAACTTCAAAAAATTTTGATTTCCAAGCTTTGAATTGAACTCTGGCATTTCTGAAGGAAGATAACTTAAAAAAAACCTCAAAAAACTCCACTTGGAAATGTTTTTCTGAAGATATTTTTAATAAAGTGGTTTATAGATACCACTTACAATAGTTAGTTCTTCTTAAATACCCAAGTAGGTATTATAATATTGAATGCTGTAAAAAGACAGACTAAAGTAAAAATTATTGCAAAGTAAAAAATAAATTCTACTAGCACTTAGGAAATGAACATCTTAACTCTCATTACTATAGATACATACTGGTTTTACAGAAATTTTAATTAGTTACTAGAAGAGAAGTTTTGAAAAACAACATAAGCCACACACACACAAACACACACATACATATTTAATGTACCCTAAAAATTTAATAAAGGATACATAATAGCATAGTATTGCTTCTATCATTGTTCCATCTGACCACACTTTTTTCAATAAAGTATGAACAGTTATTTGTTAAATTTCTCTTCCTACACAATTCATTTATTTTGAGTGACCTGTGCTACGTCCAGTCTACAAAAACGAGTTAAAGGAAGTATAAACAGCATCTCATTTGGGATAGGGGAATATATGAAAAATAAGCATTATCAGTGTAGCCAAACGATTCTCAAAATGTGGTCCTCACTAAAATGGACAGCATCAATAACTTCCAGGGGCTCCTTAGAAATGCAAATTCTCCATCCGGGGCCCCAGGCCTTCTAAAGGGGAAACATGAAATGCGATTCTACAGAGTTTGGAACCACTGGTCTAGGCCAAATAAAATATTTAACCCCTATCGCTATGGTTAGAATTCCTCTCCATTCCAAAAGCTAATACGCAAAGTTCCCAAATGCAGAGCCACCACCCTCAGTGATTATACCAACCTCAGTGGCAGTGGTTTCCCCATCGGCCGCGGTGTCCGTGCGCTCACTGTCCGTCTATTGGCCACAGAAGTGATCGGGTTCCAGGAGGAAAGCAGGAATAGAAAACAAACCCATCTGGTTAAATGGGGCATGGCACAGGCCAAACAGTCCACTCTCTTTCTCTGTGATCTGAATCATACTACCTTCCCATGAGAATGCAGGGTCAAGCAAAAGCAAAAGAAAGGCCAGAGCCAGGTCTCACCAGCAGAGCCACTCAGAGGAAGACCAGAGGCACACGGCCTGCGGGCACCGCAGACACTACAGTAGCCAAGCTGACCTGTCTGGTTTTATGTCTTGGGAAAACCAATTTGTCGTCATTCTTCCCTCCCGCTTTAAATAAAACCCAAAAAAGATCCCCTAAAAATACTTGATTTGCAAATTTGATATTTATATAGTTTTTTTTTTATTCTAGTGATATTTCAGACACTTGAAAGGTAAATTAAAATGGAAATTTAAATAAAAAGCTACTATAACAGTCACTGGACTTTCAGCCCCTCATTTATACCGTTCTGATAATTTGCATCCATTTGTGACCACCAGGCCATCTGCATTATTTAGTCATTATAAAAAGCACATGTCAGTGACTCACAGGCACATGTTTTATGTATGAAAAAATGTAACGTAACTGTCAATTAGCTTTGCTAACTAGATATTTTTAAAGACTACATCTTGTGTTTATTTTGCCTCACCATCCAATATAAAGAGTTATATGTACTGAAACATCTTGTTCCAAAAATTTCCATTCAAATGAAGCAAATAATAATAATAATGTCTCTCTCCATGTTTCTCTCTCTCTGCCCCTCCCTTCCTTCCACTCACTCTAAAGCAGGGTGGGGAACCTTTTATTTTTGCCCTGGATCATCTGGATATTTATAACATCATTCACTGAACATAATTCGCTTAATATAAGTTTGTGTTGCTATGAAAAAAGCTCCTAGGTTTATTGAACTTCAAGTCCTGCCGACAGTTGAAGTCACACCAATGTGTGTCATCCCAAAAGATTTCTTGGGCCCTTATGCAGCTCATGGGCTGGACGGTCCCCACCCTGCTCTAAAGAAGTCAGTGGAAAGAATATCCTCAGGGGAGAATTAACAACAAAATAATAATAACATTTAAAAATTAGAGGAGAGAGAATTATCTACTTGGAAACAAATAAAACAAAGCACAGCATTTTCAGGGCCCAGCATTTTAGGGGAGAATTACACTAGAAATTTCAGAACTGGTTTTTAATCTGTTTCAGGGGTTTAGGACTTAAAACAAAAACTAGTTTCTCTGGTGGGGAGTGGGATAGCCATGGAAACAGAAACCCTAATATTAACAGACTTTTCTTCCACAAATACTAGCTAAGCATTATTAAGTTCCCTTGGCCAAAGATGTGTGATTAATATTTTAAAAACAAAAATAAAAAAAATAAAAGCTCTAAGGTTGTGACTCTTAAGGCACTCCCCCAACAGTGTCAGGAAGGGATGAGTGGGAGAGTTGTTCAAGCTCACATAACTCTGGCTAGGTTGATTTCTTGGCTCGAACCCAAACTTTCATTTTATATATTCCTAAAAGAAAAGGAGTTGGAATTTGTGCAATGGTACGCCTGAGGTCGCCATCCTGGCCACTTGCTACCATGTTTAAGTGGAAAGTAATTTCCAGTAGGTTGGTGAAGAAAGTGTGTTGATACCTTTTCATGACCTGACCAACTTGGAAACATGTGGGGTGGGATGGCTGTCAATTTTCTTGGGTGATCATTAATAAGATATCACCATGCTTCACCCACTGAAAATCTAGGGAAAGGTCGGTCTGAATTACGAAGAGAGCGACAGGGTATGAAATAATTCAAAATCTTAAAAACTTTCTAGAACAAATAAGAATGACTTGTGCTCAGTGTGCTAACTAATTGTGTCAGAGATTTTTAAAGTTCTTGAAAGTATTTATCCTCCCACATATTATTTCCCTATGGCTTTAAAATTTATATCAGGGACTTGGCAAGCATCTTGGCTTTAGATTACAGTCCTGGTGAAGTGTGAGGGGTCTGATGTCAGACTGACAGGAGCTAAAATACTCACTAGTCAAATCTGCCACACATTGGGCCCATTTTATGTTTTAATCCCAATGTCCTTCTAGCAAAATGGTGAAAATAACCCTAATCGGATCAAGAAATAGATATTCAGTGCTTTATATGTCTGACATACACAGAACTAAGAAAACCTAAAATAATTGTAACATATTGATGCTAAAATAATTACTAGTAATTTAAAATGTTAAAATCAAGTGATCAATTTTTCCCTCCAGATTTGATTTTTATCTTTTTGCTTTTTGCATCAAAAAATTGCTCAGAAATTCATACGTAACTACATTAGGTGAGCTAAATTCATCTTACGTTTCTTGATAGACAAATCTGACATACTGCCCCTTCTTATTTGACCATTCTGACAGTGCAAAAGAAAGATATGATTGGCCAACAGCTTTATGTTTGAAGTGATTAGGCATTTCTACATTGGATTTCACTCTGGAGAAAGGCTGGAACTAATTAAGCCAGCACAACAGGTGAAAAATGAAAGCAGTGATGATAAAATATTTAAAAAGAATTATGGCCATTAGTGATTTTTCAAAATGGAAGTCAGAGAGCTGAACTCTATGCTACGAAGTCACCCAGTGTAGCTGCCAAAGTGCTTGAGGCCTGGAGAATGAGACAGGCCATGTAAACAAATGTCTATTTTTTTTTTTTCCCCAACTGAATGACGTATATATGAGTTCTCTAGCTCAACTGGAACTAGAGAGCACAGCTCTGAACACTTGGTGTGGAGAGATGACACTGAGCAGATGGCCAAATATGAAGTGTCAGGAGAGCTGCCATGGCTGACCGAGGCTGCAGAGGGGGGCTCGGGAGACTGGGGCGGCCGAGGCTGGTTCATGGTCTGAGAGATTTTCAATAACAAGGAAGCTCCAGTCCCGTGGCCACTAGCTTGCAACGAGTACTGCTGTGATTTGTTTTGTCGATGCAATGTGGACATGCTCAAGTGTGACATGAGTTCTCATGCATTGATGACGACAAGATGTATACCCTGGATTAGGCACAAGATCTGTGTGGTTTACTACATGTAAGTTCAGTTATTTAGAATTCAGAAAGCATAAAATGGCAATCTTTTTGCTTTATGCTAGCCTGATGACTAGCTCCATTGCTAAAGGAAAAATATAGGTCCAGGCTAGAAGCAAGCTAGATAGTCTTTGTAGATAAAATTATTTTCTTGACTGTTGTAGGTTTTAGTCTTATATTATTTGATAATATGGCCACTGTGAGAAAGGGTGCTATTAAAGCCTAAGATTTAAACTAGTTTTCTCTGAAAGAATTTTTCAAGTATGAAAATAGTTACATATATCTAACCTAAGTCATATATGACCCAGGATCCTTGAAAAGGGCTCTTAGGCAGTATCAAATGGAAAAGCTTAAACTTTTATTTCCAACATCTGTGAAGCCATTCCCATTTTTCCCCCTTCTGCTGCAAAGAAATGGTCATAATACCACTAAATATAGATACTCACACACCCTGGTGATACTCTATACTCACAGGTGCAGTTCCTGTGATAGCTGAGCAAAAACTGAAAAGACTTTCTTTTCTTATTGTAATGTGGCTTTGACTTTGTAATTTTTTTTAAATGCTAGGAGTCCTGGGCTTGTCTCCTGCCACAAAACCCATCCTTTGTGGGCACAGAAGAGCTGGCGGGGCCCGGAGGAGCTGTGGGCAGGAGGGCAGGTGACAGCCAGGTGCCTCTACTGGCAGCTTCTAGTCCTTTTCCCTGTTCTCTATGGGAAGCCCGTAGAAAGGGGATCTGCTGGGCTGCTCATACAGCTACGGGGAAAGGAGAGCAATGAAGAGGGAAGACTGCTGGCTACAGCGCCAGCTCACCCAACGGCTTGGACGAGGGACAGGAACCAGGCGGCATGGCTTCATGGATGGAGGCTCAAGGCCCAAGTCCTCTCCCCACTGAACAACTGCCTGGCTGGAAGCCACAGAGGCCCATCCGGCATCCCTGGCCTTTCCAGACTGTCTGACTGCGTGTGGGGTTTCTGGCTCATGTTGGATTTTAAAGAAACCACCCAGTGTGGATGTTGGCATTGCTAGTGCTGATGAAAGTTCAGCCCATTTTTACCATGTACAGAAGCCTCAAGTGAGTCTCTTCCTGGCTGTGCTTGAAAACTTCTGGCCCTGCCAAGGACTGATGTTACGTGGACGTTTCCAACAGCTCAAAACTCCTTTCTGACCCTAAACACTCATGGAACGAGGCTCACTTCTGTGAGTAACAATGACAGCCTGGCAATGACTACAGAAGGCAGCAGAGGGGACATTTCAGAATCCCCAGGATGAGAGGCATTTAGAATTTTGTAAAGCTGCCCGAATGCTGATGACACATCCCCGATGGTGGAGCTCTCTCCCACCTCACCTTGAGTAGCATTTAACTAGACCAGTGATTTTTTTCAACCGGCGTGCTGCAAGAATTTTTTAAACATGCAAAACCTGACTGTTTAGTCTGGGCTACTGTCCCCTTTTTCCTTAGATGGTCAGATTGGCAAAAAAAAAAAATGTATTTTTGGTGTGCTGCAGAATTTTATTATTTTATTTGAGCCATGAGATAAAAGGTTGAAAATCACTGATCTAGACGGTATCACCACTATGTATCATGATACCAGGATTCAGAAAGCCCTCACTTAACGTTGCTGACAGGGTCTGTGACTTTAAGTGATGTATAATGAAACCAATTTTACCATAGGCTAATGGATGTAAACACGAGTTAAATCCCTGTGGCATCTCATCAATGTTTTAATGAAAAGATGTTGAATGAAGCAACGTTATTTGAGAGGTGGCTGTACATTTTAGTAACGCTCCATAAACTTTTTCAGTCAAAAGTTATGTATTTACCTTGTGTGTAACTTACTTTATTAGACGGTAACTGAACAAAACCTTTCCCTTAACCCTGCTTGTTCCACAGCCCCGGGGTTATTTAGAACTGACTTCTGGCTGAGTCCCTCCCCACCCGTGTCACTCAGTGGGAAGCAGCATGATTCCGGGCTGGGCTCGGACTGCCACATCCACATGGTGTTGTGCCTAACCCTGGGGCCGGATTGCGTCCCCCAACACACAGAAATCGCTTCACGGATTGGCACAGACAGTAAATGAGGCTCTGAAAGTAGGACCACTATCAGCAGCAGCCAATCTAACACTGTATCGGACCAAAGCCCCGACCACGACAGGGAAGTGTGTTCTATGCCGAGGTACACACCTCTTCCTCTGAACTGTCACTCGGGTCATTGTCTAGTGAGGCAGTCAAGGAGGCCGCCTTGGGCTCCAGGTAGCAGAGGCACAGAGCCAGAGGGAAGGAGAGAGTGAGGGCATATGGCACTGAGAAGGAGGCTGAGAGCAGGAAGAAAAAGATGAAGAGGAAGCAGGGCACGAGGGAGGGTGAGCGGATCGGGAGGTAATGCTGCAGGCTCTGGGGGAGGAGGCTGCTTTCGGACAGGCTGGGGAAAGAGAGGTACCCATCGTCGTCCAGAAGAGAAGGGAATGACTCCGGGAGCTGCAAGGAGAAGGAGAACAGGGTGGCCCCTCGGCCAGCTTGCTGCTTGTAGCTAAAAGCCACATCCTGGTCCGCTGGGTACGGCTTCCCTTTGCCATCAGAGTCCACGGAGGGCTCTCCGTGCTCAGGCACGGTGTCTTTGGAAGGTCTGCCACCCGGAGGTTGGCCGTCATTCTCCTTACACCTCCTACGGAGCTCTGTGGGAGATGCAGGGGGACAGTGGGTGCATGGGGGGGACAGGGAACATGAGTCAGTGCCAAGCCCAGGTGACTGATGTGAAAGAGGCGGAGAGAGGAGAGAGAGAGAGACAGAAAGCAGCAAACAGAGGTGCAAAAGGACAAAAAGAAAACTGCAATTAGTTAATTTTCTTATGGGTAACCAATATAAAATTGTAAAACAAGAATTTCAGCACTAGCTTGCTCGTGAATTTTAAAGTATTCAAGCTGCATGCCAACACTGCCACCAATGGCTGCCGCTCTCCCCTCCGCCCAGCAAGCCCAGGGAGGGCTTTTTAAAAAAAAGTCAGAACGAAGGAATCTGTGGGCAATCTCAACGTCGACATGTTTCACACGATCAAAAATTTCTGTTTAGATCATCAACTCTAGAAAGTTTAAGGGTTTTTGCAAGAGACTATAACTTCGATAACTTAAAAGACTTTCAATAACATCTGACCATCAGTGAACAGATCTGTTACTGTGGTTCAGCTGAATTAGAAAGAAAAATGGATCAAAATTTTGATGATGTCCAAAGAAATCTCTAGCATTACCTTTCCTTGGTTAGTCAATTATATCCCAAACAGGTGGGTTTCCATATTTAAAAAAAAAATTTTTTTTTTCTGGCCCCACTCCTCTGTGACAAACAGTTCCAATCAGGGACTTCAGTAACTAGCCTTTGAGGAAATCTAACTCTCCACAAAGACTTGGGGTTCCTTGGGAAATTCTTATTTTGGCTCCTTGATCTAGGAGGTAAATGGAACTTAAACTCCAAGTGGTTTCAGAAAGCTAGCAAGCAAAAACAACATGTTTTCTGGTACAGTGGCTTACAAGTATTTACTTTGCATTGTTTGTGGTCCATGAATAATAATAGAAAAATACAATTTCCCCAGCCTGGTGGAGTTTTAAGTAGATAAGTGGTAGGTTTAACGCACCCGGTTTGAGCTCTTACAAGAATGATAGAGGCAAATATTGCCACAAATGTGCTCCCCAGTGAGCTCAGGCTCTGCAGGACAGGGAGGCCCCTCCCTTCCCTCTGCCCTGGCACTAGGAGGGCCACAGCTGCTGAGCAAGGACGGGCAGAGGAAAGCAAGGCCCCCAAAGGACCTGGGCACAGCGCTGAAGCTGCCACAGCCCAGGAGTTCAAGTCGAGGTCACATGGAGCCTGAAGACAATTAGACTTCTGCTGCTGTATGAGTGTGTGTGTGTGTGTGTGTGTGTGTGTGTGTGTGTGTGTGTGTGTTGCCTAGAGACCTGATAGCATGGACATTACCCAACCTGTTTTGTGGTGGCTATCTATTCCTAACTTGGCAACTACAAAGAGTAAGAAAAGGCACACATAAAATTATGTCATGGATACATTAGAATGTAGAAGTGCCTTTTAAAGTATTAGACAAGTGCGTCTTTTCCTATCACTTACATGTGATGCTAAACATTGTGTCTTAAACGAGACCCTGCACAAATCTCACTCAACTGAGAACGGTGCATTAGTGTACGCGGACTTCCGCACGCAGACAATGGTTCCTGCAGTGGCAGGCCACCCCGTCTCCTGCGGCACCCAGAGCTGGAAAACAGGCTCCTCTCAGAGGAATGGGGGACTAGTTGTTTGGTAACATTTTTAGTACTATATTTTCACTTTCTTTAAAAAGTGAGTACCCTCTGCATTACTTTTTGAAGTTGGAGAGTAATAAAATTAAGATGCAGTCATTCTTGTTGCTTATAAACGTGGCTTTTAAAAGGCAGATTGCACTGTGGACAATGAGGACAAACATCCGCCTGCATCGACCCTGGGTCTCGGCCACAGCCCTTCGGAGGCACTTTGGGTCAGAGCGCTGGCTTCTCAGAGACTCCGACTCTGAGAGCCCTGCTTTCCCCTGTCATTTTTGTCTCCCACAGCGTGAAGGCACGAAGCGATGCCTACTTCATGTTGCAATTCATGTAAACAAATAGCTGATATTTAAAATCAAAGTGAGATTGCCTGGATCTATTTATTATTATTATTATTATTATTTTTTTTTTATCAAACTAAGTCATTTACTTGTCTGTGCCACTTACTCCTATTTACACATCCACGAGAAGCATAATGTTACCTGGGTGATGCCAACAAAGCATGCAACACATTTGCTGTGCAGGTATATTATCTTCTTTTCATGTCCTATTTAAAACCTGCCTCAACTTAACCGATAAGTCTAAAAACAAAACTCAGAACAAAGTACATTTGAACAGCACAAATGATCCTAGCGTTTTTGCTATCATTTTCTATCCTGTTTTTATTTTTTTCTGTTTGGCAAAAAATTTTATCCTACAGAAAAATGGACTGGGTCTTTGAATTTCCTAATGCAACTACAATGATGCTAAGGTTTTATCAGTATATCCTTTTAGCTGTCACTGTTACATTCTTGGCAAAAGGAGTTTTTTTTTTTTTTTTTTTCTATTGAGTCCCAGATGGTGTGTCCCTGCAAATAAATCTATATTTAAAGAGCCCTTGTGCAAAAGAAGATTTCTGAATGAAATTTGCACAGGTTTTAACACAGCTATAAGTTATACAGCATTTTCATTCTGCTGTCCTGTTTCACTCTGTTCTGAGCACACTGCTTTCCACTGCTGTGATTAAGTATAAACCTCCCCGTGTTCTCTGACTTTTAGGGAATAACTCTGCTACATACAAAACGCCTAAGCAGAAGTAGATGGTCTATATGGCTTTTGACTTTTATTTTTCTAAAAAGTTGATTGCTGGATAGTGCAGGATCACCAAAAACAAAGATAATATAAAAAATAAATAAATTGAATTTGGGTGAAATGAAGTTACAAAATTAAATGAAAAAAGAAAAACACCTCGGAGACGTTGCTGCCAAATTTACTTTCCAACTTCCCTCACAACCTTTTGCCTTACTCTCACTTTTTAAAACATGCCCACCTGCTACTCTGATGATTAGATTATGATCATGAGGAAAGCTATTCACTGGCAGTCAAATGAATGGTAATGTCATTCCACTGCATATCTAGAAAAATAGGCACTCCTTGGAGAGGAGAGTGGGGCCAGAAACAAACAGCTTCCATGACAGCTCTGACATAGGAGCCCGAACAGAAAAGTGTAGTTCACCATTCAATGTATTTTTTTTTTTTTAATACAGTCAGGACAGCTATAGAAAGTCTTATGCAGCACATCTGTTGTTAGAATAAAAATGCTCAGAAAGTTGAAAAGGAAATCTTCCAGAGGAAACATGTCGACAGAGGAAATCATTTAAATTTGATAATAAGGATGTGACGAAGGCTGAAATACGAATTTGCCTGCGTCTTAACCCATTCCCGGTTCGTATTCTCAGCATTACTTGGCAGTTCTCCAAAGTCTGAGCAAGCTCCAGGAGGCAGCCTGGGAGAAGTACCTTTCCCTCGGGCCGTACGGCCGTGGCAGCAGCGGCTTCCTCGGCCTTTTTCCGCCGGTCCTCTTCCTCATCGCGCTCCTCCTCGGCCTTCTTCTCCGGGGTCACCGTGGTGATCAAGTTGGTCTGAGAGATGCCCTTTGTGGTGGTGTACTGGCCAGTACCAACCTCTGCAGCAGACACAGAATCCTTCATGTATATTTCATGGTTTTCATTCACTGATGCTAAAAGCAAATACAATGGGAGAAATAAGGTCTGAAGTGGTTAAGCCAGAAGACGGATGAATAGCACCCATTGTCCCATCACGAACAATAATGCCCCTTAGAAAAGTCCAGCTTTATCTTCAAAAGACAAGGCAGCTCAGCAGGTACCTTCTTCTAAGCACTAGCACAGACTCAGCTTTCTATGACCTCTACACTGGTGTTCCAAAGTGATTTCAAGGCTTATCTCTGGAAGCCACTAGAATGGTTTCATCCATTCTCAGGCTCCATGGGGAGGATGCGTGTCGGGGTGGATGTGAGTGTCAGGCTGGGAGGCTGAGCTGCCACCACACTCGTTACCCCAGACAATTGGCAAATTCCACAACTAAGAGCATTTTCAGTAGACCACTGATCTAGTGCACTCGACTTTGAACATATTTTTGGAAGTGGCACTCACCAAGGAGCACTAAAATTAAAAAAAAAAAGACACCTGTTATTAATAATGGCTGAAAAGTTTCCTAGAATATAAAAGCCACAAGGGCAATAATGAAAACGAGCCATCTTGGCAGAAATTACAAAGTTTCCAATGGCAACTCCATAATGGAAGTGCAGAAACGTTTTAATTTCTACTGCACTTTAAAAAGATATGCACACATGTCTACCATGATATGCGTACATTCATTCATCTCTAATATTTGGGGACAAGGACACAAACATTGTTAATGAAATGCATGCAAAGGCAGAGCGTGCAGACATAAAAGATATAAGATACAGCCTTTCACCCCAGCTGTAATGTCTTAGTGAAAGAGATGTTTACATCAATTAAATTTTTAATATTGGATACTCATTACTTTTGGTTTTAGATACCATATTTCAGAAACTTATCAATGCTGTTTTTCAAACACACAGTAGAAAATCATAGGCAAAATATAATCTGGTTTCATATTTATATAAAAGTAAGAAAATAGTCTGAAATCCTTTTACTGTTAAATCACTTCACTAAGATATTTTATATCTTGTTGTCCTGATGAAAAAGCTCATATGATATAGTTTTCTAAGGGCCAGTTAGGCTCCATAGAAGATACAATTTTGCAAAAAGCAGTTTTTTATGCCCACGTGCAGCCCTGGTCCCCAGCTCAGCAGCCCAGAAAACACACTAGAATTGACAGAACCCCAAAGAGCGAGAGACAACACATACTAACATCACTTTTGGGCTGAGAGAAAGAGACAGCATGGTATTAGTACATTTATTGCACAATTGTCTTCTGTCTTCTCAGTAATCATTGTCACACAAAAGGTCATGAGGCAAACAACATTCATAACACATGTGTTCCCTTGTGCACACATCACTGAACAGAGTGGATTGTATTCGGGGGGGGGGGGGAAGGGGTGAGTCTACAAAAGCTCATCTAACACTGACTTAGAAAATACACAGTTTACAGAGATTCTCTAAAGGAGAAAGAAGAGTAAGTGAGACAATGCCGAAGAACAGCTTCAGTGTTAACATGGATGGATATATGAGTGTCTTAATCCAACTTAAAACAGTCCTAATCAACATTTTATTCTAAAAGTATGGTTCTAAGTTAGATATTCTGAAAACACAAAACAAACAAAACACACACACACACACACACACACACACACACACACACACACACACACTCTTAGAAGATACCGAATGGTAATAACTTTCTAGGCCACCTCACAAAAGCCCATATGAATAATTATAATTATATCCATAGAACAGTGCTCTGATGGGTATCTTATTCAGTCTTGCAACAACCCTGTCAGAGGTGGCCTGACTCCCATTTTATGAATGATGAGTAAAAACCAGACAGGGAGAGTTTAGGTCTTTCAGCAACTGCCTAGCAGGTAGAGGAACCGGACTTCACTCTGGATTTACCTATGCCAGGTGAGTGTTTTTTCCACTTCACTAGAAATATACAATTTTTGCTTCTTCTATAAACTGTATAGAACGTTATCCATTAGGAATATACAGTCTTTTTCATCAGGGGATTCAGGGAGTCCGTCACCCCACCAGCCACACTAGGGTGTCATGAACTGTGGTGAGCAGAGGTAGGACGGGAGGGAAGAAGGTGGTCCCGGGCTCTTGTAATGTTTACTTATTTTTAAAAAAAATATATATTTTATTGATTTTTTTACGGAGAGGAAGAGAGAGGGATCGAGAGCTAGAAACATCCATGAGACAGAATCATCCATCAGCTGCCTCCTGCACACCCCCCCCACTGGGGATGTGCCCGCAATCAAGGTACTTGCGCTTGACAGGAATCGAATCCGGGACTTTTCAATCTGCAGGCCGATGCGCTATCCACTGAGCCAAACCAGTTTCGGCACATTTACTTATTTTTTATTTATGTTTGTGCTTATGATTAAAATGGTACACGCATGCCAGAAACCTCTAACTCTTTATTGTGCACAGGCTAGATCCTTCATAAAAACGCCAACCTCCAGGTGCTTGGAATGAGGAGAGGAGGCCTGGCCATGACTCAGTTCCTAAGTTAATTATTCCTCTAGCTGCCAAGTCTTGTAGCAGAAAGCACATCTGCGTGTAACTATAGATACAATACAAAACCACCCCACAAAACAAAACCTACGGAAAACTCATGATTATGCCATTCCTTAAACGTGTTATTTTAGCAATTTTCTCCCTGTTTCACTTACGCATTTGACTTCACAGTAGACACCATCTACAGACAGTGCTCTCCCCGTCTGTCAGGACGATTTAATTTAGGGCCCTTGCTCTGTTATCTGGATGTCATCCTTCCTATAAGCTGTTATTTATTGGCTGATGAATCACATTTTTTTCACAGTTTCTTTTTTTAGAAACAGGGATACGTTTAACGTATAGTTTTCTTTCTGAAACACATCGTCTAAGACAAACCTGACAATCATTTAAGATCCGCTGGCTAGGAAACCAGACTCCTTGCAGAGTAGGTGACTACCATATTTAGAATGAGAGAATCTTTCTCCAAACTCAGGGTTCCAGCTTCAGAAAGCTATGCTCTTCATTCTCTAAGCAATCTTCCGCAAACCTAAAGTAACGGATATTATTCACAAAGGCACATTTGTTTTTGAGGATGGGTGGTTAACAATTGCCAGTCGGCCACAGACCAAGAAGAAGGTGCTTCCCATTTCCTACTATCCAAGAGGATCTATGCTTCCTGAAACGGAAAGCTCACGAGGGCTCCACCGTGGCGGGCAGCCACCGGAGAGTATTGAGGGCAGGGATGCCTACCTCCATCCAAGCTGCGCGACATGGTGTAGCGTTTGCTGGAGGAGCGTTCGAAGTAAGGGGCCGGTCGATCTATCAGCGCACTGGCTCTTCTCGTCTGGGCTTGAGTTCTGCCGCTATAACGAAACTTGGAACCCAAGGTGAGGAATTTCTTTGGAGGTGCTTCTGGTAACAACAATCTAAAGATATTAGAGGGGGGGAAAAACACCAGAAGGAACAGTAAATCAAACATTGAGAACACTAACCTTTTACTCTGTTCTGAAAGGTAAAGTGCTTTGTGTACTAGAGGATTAACACCCAAATGGAATGAAATAAACCAGATTTTTAAGAAGAAAAAAAAAATAACTGACACAGGACATATCAACGAGGGATGTTATTGAGGCTATGAGCAAAGCGGGAGTTGGGTTGGACTAGTAGGCTTACATCCCATGTAACTGGATGTGGTTCTATAAACCCCAAGAGCAATTAAGTAGGTGATGGTAGGGATTTTGTGCACACAGAGATAATGGCCCTAATTAGTCAGGTATTGAGAAATTACTAAAATAGTAAGAAACATATTGAACCCTTCAAGTAGACATCTTACAAAAATACTGAAAAGGTACCAAAGATGATAAAGAGGAGATGGAGCAGATCAGTATAGTACAAATGAAGGAAACTATTCAAATGTAGTCAGAAGTTCTTTTAGGATTTATTAAGAAATCTCGTGACAACAACCTTGAAGGAACTTTAGAAAGATATGCTTCCACATTCTCCTTCCCAACAATCTTTTTCAGTGTCAGTAATGCCAGGCACTCTATTTTTTTTTCTCCTTAAGAAAAAAGCAAGTTGATCTCTACCTACCTGAAAAATGTATGGTGCTCAACACACACTTTCCATAAACGCTTGGCAGCTCGATGGTTTGGCAGTTTAAATCCAATGGTACTTTCAAATTGTTCAAACTACATTTAGAAAACATTGAAGAGTAGAATCAAGTTTAAAATAATAACAGAAAAGCAAATCATTTTAAAAATCAAAATACCACTCACAATTGCTTTCTTTACTTCCTAAATCAATTGCTATATGTGGAATTCATGCTACTAGTATATACATGCATTTACAAAAAAAAAAATCTCCTTATATCTAATATCTCCTTAAAATACTGCAGGTATTTTATGCATATAGTAGATGTTTTATGTACCAGTATGGATCTTATGAAAACCGAATGTAAACAAGAATATTTGGATTCCTTCTAGAGACCAACTTGTCCCGATATCATATTTAATCCTAATTTTCATTGTTTCTCCCCCCCCCCCCCCCATGACATCAAGACTTCAAATGGAAGATACAGAAATGAAAAAAAGGTTTAAAGTCTATAGCATTCTCAGAGTGACATTTTCTCCTAATATCTGGTCTGGGAATATGCATATACTAAGTATTTAATGACTTGTTATCAGGTATTGCTGATGTTATCTGTGCATTATAATATGGATTACCATATTAAATGCTAATATCTCTTGATATTATATTAGAAGCCCGATGCACAAAATTCATGCATGTAATGTGTGTGTGTGTGTGTGTGTGTGTGTGTGTGTGTGTGTGTTCCTCAGCCTGGCCTGTACCCTCTCCAATCTGGGACCTCTCAAAGAATGTCCTACTGCTGGTTTACAGGTATTAGGCTTAAATTGGCATTCGGACATCCCTCTCACAATCCAGGACTGCTGGCTCCAGTCGTTCACCAGTCTGCCCCACTGACTAATTGCCCCTAACCACTCTGCCTGCTGGCCTGCACACTCCCAACTGCCCCCCTTCTGTCCTGCTCACTCCAAACTGCCCCCCCCCGCTGTCCTGATCACCTCTAACTGACCCCCACTGATGACCTGCTCACCCCCAACTGGACCCCTGCTGGTCTGCTTACCCCAATGGCCCCTGTCGTCCCATCCTGGCCTGATCACCTCCCGGTGACCCAAGGGCCCAGTCCCTCTTCCCCCTGCCCCCCAACATCTCCTTGAGCAGTGGTCAGGGCTGGCTGGAAGCAAGTATCTAGGATTTATTTATCTTCTGAAATTGAAACTTTGTAGCCTTGAGTGGAGGCCAGGGCAGTTTATAATGTTCTTTATTATCCACAAATGAGTGAGATCATGTGGTATTTTTCTTTCATCGACTGGCTTATTTCACTTAGCATAATGCTCTTCAGTTCCATCTAGATTGCTACAAATGGTAAAAATTCTTTTTATGGCAGCATAGTATTCCATTGTTTAGATGTACCATAGTTTTCTGATCCAGTCATCTGCTGACAGGCACCTAGGCTGTTTCCAAATCTTAGCTATTGTAAATTGTGCTGCTATGAACATAGGGGTGCATATATCCTTTCTGATTGGTGTTTCTAGTTTCTTAGGATATATTCCTAGGAGTGGGATTACTGGGTCAAATGGGAGATCCATTTTTAGTTTTTTGAGGAAACTCCATACTATTTTCCACAGTGGCTGCACCAGTCTGCATTCCCACCAGCAGTGCACAAGGGTTCCTTTTTCTCTGCAACCTCACCAGCACTTGTCGTTTTTTGATTTGTTGATAATAGCTGTTCTGACAGGTGTGAGATGTTATTTATAGTTCAGATTATACTCTATTAGTCATATGATTTTCCAAGGTGGAATATCTGATTTCCTGAATAATTATTTTAATATCACTGCAGATTCTCATTAATGTTTTATTCTTTGAGGACAGTATGCAGCAGGCCACCAGAGGGCAACCATCTTAAACAATAAAGCCTTCCCCAAAGAGCACAAAACCTCCTGATTATTGACATAATCAATAGCAAAAGCAATTTATGTGGCAAAGAACCACGGAGAGGGCTCCTCTGCATGGCATGTGAGAATGCTTGACCTCTATTTCTTGTTTGTTGAGAGGGACAGGGCAGGGGAAAGACTGGGAAACACATCCAGGTTGCTTTAACTACGGCTGCCTTTCCCAATTTCTTATTCCCTCTGGAAGTTCATGTGCAGTGGTGGTTATGAAAATCACCACTGCCCAATGGACCCAGTCGACTGACAAACCTGAGTCCTGTGGATCGTAACTGAACCATCCCCCATCTACTCATCCTGCTCTGATATGTACCATGCATTAGGCAAAGGTCAGAGGTTTTAAAAAAAGTGTCAACTTGCTCCTTTAAGAAGCTGGAGAGATACTCTCAAGATAATAGAAGCGCTACGCTTTTAAAATGTTTATCTAGCTCTTGGTGCTTTGTATTCTTTTCATTGCAACCTCTTCAGAGTCTTCAGGCTACCAATAATTTCTTCTCATTCTTCTCAGCCTATAAATATGATTGTAAAAGAAGGGAGAGAAACAACTTCCTTTGAGCCTGCTTCTGCTGAGCCAGAATCTTCTCGCTCCTCATGCTACACATTCTGATGGAGAAGCCTCAGCTCCTTCACTTCTTACCTCTGTAACCTGCCAGGTGCTCCTAACTCCTTCCTGAACTCCTAAATGTCACAACAGGACCTATCAACTGTGATGCACTTTTCTTAGTTCTTACTTGCACCTTCTCTGTAACATTTGGCACTGCCAGTTAAACACTGCCCCTGAATCCCGTCTTGCTGTCATCTGTGACTGTTTTTGATCCTTTTCCCTTTCTCTGGTGTTATTCTTAATCTCCTTGTGTTCCTCTTGGGCCTACCTCTCTCTCAAAAAGTGGTCTCACCCAGATTTTTTGTTATAGTCTCTCTCTCTCTCTCTCTCTCTCTCTCTCTCTCTCTCTCTCTCTCTCTCTCTATACATATATATATATATATATATTTTTTTTTTTTTTCTCCTTAAGTTCTATTGTTCTTTGGGTAATTTATTCCACATCTAAGGTCCTGATTAAAACGTATATGACTGATGTCTCTGATCAAGTTCTATATTTCTCACTGTGTAAAAATCACACCCTGGAAATCTGTCCCAGAGGGATTTCAATCTTTTTCCTTAAATTCACCCCCTTTTCCTTTCCTTTAATAATATCATCTCCATTGCCTTCTCTATTGCAAACGGAAAGACTTTGATCATTCAGGACTCTCCTCTTTACCCTTCCCCCATCATGTCTCCGAAATCTCCTGTTCTGCCCCTGAAAGCCGTCTCAAATGTGCCCCTTCCATTCTATTCCCAGAGCCTCTGTTCCAGTTTGGGTCTTAACACATCACATGATGAAGCAGCTTAATTCATTAAGAAACCCATCCTTCTCAAGTGTTCATCTGGTTATGACAAGCCCTGATTTAAACCCTCCCATGGCTCACTACTGCCTACTTCTCCTTTTCCCTGCTGGCCTCTCACAACCGTGTTCACTCCATGTCCGTGGGATACTATCTCACTGTATCATGACTTAGTTCCAAGTGTGCGAGTCTGTTTCTGTGCCAAATATAAAGTCCCTTAAGGACAGGGACAAATTTCGTATTTCTCTTTTTATTTCCAACGCCCAACATGGTACCTAGCAATAAACAGATGCTTGCTTATGTTTAATAAATTCAAATGAACATTTATCAGTTATAAGTTTAACATGCAATCTTTAGAAAATATTTTTAATATTACTGTCATTGCGGGTATTTACATGAAAAGTTTATAGATTATTTCAGTCTTCAGAGGAAGGATGCAAACCTCTATATTTACTCTACACATTATTGCTTGCTTTGTAGCCTGATATTTTAGTTGTACTTTCCACCAGTGGATAGGCTGATTTTGAAGACAGGACATAATTCTATATTATGCCAGAAAATGTCCAGAGATATAAATGAACTGCAATCTTAGAGCTTTGCTTCCATTATATTAATCACATTGATCAGAAATGGAGATATTTGTTAATTATCTATTAATCAGATACAGCAGGTACTTACTACCTATTATGTAAAAACCACTAAGGAGAATACAAATATGTCCAGCATAGATGCTGTTGTTCAAGGAATAAGGATTAGTTAACAATTTTCACTCTTTCACTAGCTTCTCCAATTTAAAAAAAAAAAAAGTGAAAATACATTAGGTTGTGGAACACTTACATAATTTAGATCCTGAGTTCCTCATTCTAATCTTTCTTGTACCTGTTGCATATTATCTCTAAACTATTCCCTTTAAGATGCCATCAGATTGCCTGCCAGGTGTGGCTCAGTGGTTGAGCATTGACTCCTGCATTGAGAGGTCATTGGCTTGATTCCAGTCAGGGCGCATGCCTGGGTTGCAGGCTCTATCCCTGGTGGGGGGCGTGCAGGAGGCAGCTGATTGATGATGTTTTTTCTCGTTGATGTTTTTATCTCTCTCCCAAATCGATAAAAATATAATTTAAAAAAAGATGCTGTCAGATTTGGAAGACAGAGAGAGAGGGAGCATAGCGAGCATAGCGACAATAATAGAGTTGGTAGGGAGAAATCTTTTCTTTGCAAAGAGGTTTAATGGCTATGACTTTCATTTATACCACAGCTTGAAATATACAAAACATTATTCATGAATCTGGGCTTTACATTAAAATATGTAGAAACAATCATTTCAATTAATGTATGCTATGGGAAAAACCTAAAAAAAAAATGAACACTTGTTTCTACCTCTTTGTTGGATAAACCTACAGTAAATTCTCTTAGGCGTTTAGACATAACTCACCAACCATGTCCTGAGATGCTGAGAACTTATAAGCAGGCAATTTACATGTTTGTTTGCTATCAGGTTCCCTTTTTCCCAATGTACATGCAAATTTGGGTCTACTTACCTCTCCCGGGCGGATCTTAATGTAGAAGTTGTTCCGTTTGTATGAAATTTTTAGGACCTTAGGCCAAGCAAATCTATTTATCCGCAGTCGGTCACGATATATCAACAGACCACTTGCACAAACACCTAACATAATTTCTACTCCTTCAGAATCCTGGAAAATAGAAGCAAGAAACATAGGGTCAGTATCTCACTTGTTTCCACTTATGGCTGGGTACAATATTTAAGTCTCCCTAACACAACCTATAATTGACTACCTATAGGTCTAATTTAAATAAGAAAAATACTGCAGCCATTTTAAAACATTACCATTAAGTAATAGCCTTGAAATGAAGATATTTATCACTAAGGAAATTAATTAGAGTACAACCTGCTCACCCAAGTATCTTAGATTTCCAGAAATACTGCACATAGAACAGGCCAGCCAGATGAGGTGTGTTAACACAAATAACAGCCCCAGTTCTTGGTTACCAAGTGCCAAGCATTGCCCTAATACTTCACATATATTAACCCTTTTAATAGTCACTAGGCTGTTTTGAGATAGTTGCTATTATTCTTCCCATTTTAGAGATGAGGAAACTGAGCCACAGAGAGGTTACGCATCTGTTCCAGTTGAATGCGAGCAGCCTAATTCCAGAGGCAGCACTCATAATCAACATGTATACTAAGAGAGGGGCCCTATCTTTTCTTATGCGTGTTTTGGAGTTTGTTCCTTTAAAAAGAGCCTCCATCTTTTTTATATACCATTATTGTCAGAGTAAAATTTAAATATAAAATAGTGTGGGGGTTTTTCTTAAGTATGAACTGTGCTTCCCCAACAGGCCCCAACACATGCATTGCCCAGTGGTAAGCACACATAGCAATATGATTCACATAGATATGGATAGACTTTATATATGTGTATAGTCTTTTATAACAAAGGTGGGGTCATGCTACATTTGCAATTTGCTTTGCTATTTATACTGTTAATATTTAGGTCATTTCCTAGGGGTATGTGATGCCCAGAGGTCCCAGAGATGTTATATGTAGTAAAGGTCAAGAGACATACCATGCATAGTCTATGCCTCCTCAGTATAGTATTCAGGGGGAATCTGTGTAAAATGAACATCTGTGTTGACCCAAGTGGAATAAAAATGAAGGACGGAGGCAGGACTGTGTGTGAGGCGCAGCCTCCACCCTGTCTCACTGGTTGTTGGAAGCTGGAGGTACATGGCCGGGGGTAAGGGGGGTGAGAGGGGGAAGACCGGGTCTTTTGTCACCTTAATCAGCAGGGCTGCCCCCAACTCTGAGTCACTCTGCAGCTCCAGAGAGGAAAATGGCAGAACCCAAATAAGAGATTCTGACTCGTCCATATTGTGGGAATTTACTGCCTCAATCCTGTCAGTGCAAGGACAAGATGAACACTTCCAGAAGCAAAAAATAAATATATTTCAGTCCACCTCTGGACACATCTATATAATAAAAGCCTAAGCGACCATTATGGCAGAACGAGCAGAACAACCGGTCACTCTGATGCACACTGACCATCAGAGGGCAGATGCTCAATGTAGAAGCTGCCCCCTGGTGGTCAGTGAGCTCCCACAGGGGGAGCAGTGCTCAGCCAGAAGACCAGCTCATGGTTGGCGAGAGCAGCAGGGGAGTCTCTCCCTCCTCTGTGGCAGCACGAAGGAGCAGCAAGCCAAGCGGTAAGGAGCAGCGAGCAGGAGGATGGTAAGGAGTGAGGAGTCCCGAACTGTGAAAGGGATGTCCCCTGAGGGGTCCTAGACTGCGAGAGGGTGCAGGCCGGGCTGAGGGACCTTCCTACACCCCAGTGCACAAATTTCATGCACCAGGCCTCTAGTATGTTCATAATTGGTACAAAATGAAACATTTTACCTTTGAAATCTATCACCCCATTAGGTAGGGAATGAGAGGAGTGGAAGTACTTGATGGCAGGATATAAAATCTGAGGAGGCCTCCTCCAAGTCCAGAAACTGCCCGCCCTTTTTTAGGGGCGTTAATGTGAAAGAGCAATTGAAAGAAAGGCAACCTGATGCTGACGAGTCCCTGGTGTTACTGAGCCTTCAGACCCAGCCCATCCGCTCACCCGACAGCTCAGAGGTGACCACCTCACACCATGAGCACAAATGCAGGTCTGAGTAACTGCTCTTTGCTTCACTTTCTTCTTGGTAAAGAACATAAATGTTTAGAAAAGATGCCTTTGAGCTAACGAGGGAAAGGGCGTTGAAAACGTTTTTCATGATTTCATCTATTTTTAAATCTCTCATCAGGGTCTTCCTCTCCTGGCGAATATTGGGACGCCTCCTTTGCTCCTTCACTGCTCTCCTGTGCCCTCCGGCATGAACTCCTCTGTCCCCATATCGCTCTGTTGGATCAGCACGCCCCCAGCAAAGGTACTGCCTTCTCCTTAAGACCATAGCTGGTTGAGAGCAAGAGCTCAATTTAATCTTTGCAGTCACATGGTCAAGACAGTGCCTGCCTAGCATGGGTGAAGCCATTACATGTTTGGCTAATGAAGACAGACAGTATCAGGTAAGTGGGGTTTTAAATTGCATGGTGGTCTGCATTACGTTAATCATAAAGAAGAAAATACTTTTTTCCCCTCAAGTTTTCGGCCACAGCCCAAACTGTTCGTTTGATAATTTTTTATTGTGTTGCAAGCTCTTTCGGCAGCCTATCTTGGGGTTTCCCTCCCAATGAACATATTTAATACTTCTTTTAGCCGGGAGTACCGAAGGAATACCTGGATAGCCTAGGTCTATTGTAATTAAAATAAATGTGCATGCTGCTCCCTTAATTTAAATCACTGTTTAAACTTTGCCATCCTTCATTCTCACTTGGTCTATGGGATATCTAATGTGGATTTATACCTACATTTTAGAATCTTCTATGAAATAAATGACTCTCTCAGAGCCTATTCAGACAGACATTAGATGACAAACAAGCAGAGAGAGTCTTCCTAAGAAGAAAACAAAGCATTTAGATAGGATAGGTTTTCTCAAACAAGGGACCTTCAGCTAATACGGGTATTTTATTTTTTATACAGAGCTTTGAGTTAGAGGTCGCAATTCAGACTTTCTAAACAGGTCATGCAGCTCAGGGTCTTTTATGCCATCTGGTTATGACTGGAAATGAGCTCTAATTTAATTCAGTAAATTTCCTTCTTAAAATGATAGAGTGTGGCTGCATGAGAAAATGGAGTCCATCACCGAATCATTTGTTATACTTAATATTCAGATGAAATCCTTTTACGGGCTGTATTTGAACTTCCTTAATTCTTTCTTCTTTAATTGGCATATATTCAAATCATATTATTGCAGCTATCCATTTTAATTCAGTAGCTAGAGCAACGTTAAGTGATTTTATTTTCACGGATGGGAACACGGATACACCCCGAGCTGCACTTCCCTAAAAGCATGCCCTAATCTGTCACTTATTTATTTTTCCTGGGCAGCAAGCGAATCATCATGTGTAGTGTTATTCAAAAATAGCTTTCGATCCACTCAAATTTTCAGGCAACCTTCATTTTCTTCTTGCTTCATTTCCTTATGTTTCGGTCACCTAAGGAAACACTCTTAAGATAAAATCTTACTAGTGTGTGTGTTCTTATTTTCTTTTCAAATTCTCATCCTGTCTTGTATCTGGCATAAACTGTAAAACATCTTTATTCTCTGACTGCAAAATAGGTGAGAAGACACAATAAACAGGCAGGTAAATAGAGCCAGACCTGCTGTTGTAATTACACACAAATGTCAAAGAGTCTGGCACGATGCACCAACCCAGCCCTGGGATAAACCGCCAGCCCTCAGAGACTGTGCGGGTTAGTGCTCAGGCCATCGGTCCTTGGAAGTCCACATCCTGTCAGAGGGACACAATGATCAGAGTCATAATCAGTCAAACCTGCATTCATGTGATGGCCACCATGTTCTGATCCAAATGCCATCCAGGGAGCAGCCCACCTGCAGCACCAACAGAACCTACAGACCACAGATTTCCCTCCCCTGGGACTCGGAGTGGTTGAGTTGTTTGCCTGAACAGAGCCAGCTGAAATGCTCTTCATGCCTTGGCCCTGATCTTGACTGTGTAAGATATTCCCCTTGACTAGAAGCCTGTTAACTTCCTGTGAGTCCCAGATCCTGAAATTGGTGGCTACTCTGTGCATTAGAAGAAAAGGCACATCCCAGAACCGGAGCAATGTTATCTTGCCAGCCCAAATCAGAAGAAACGGCCCCTGAACTTCATACAGTGATCTTTCAACAGGGCAGAAGTACCAGAATCCATCCCTAAGATCCTAACAAATTGCTCATGTTTTGATGGTAGCGGTTTTCACGAAAGCTTGCCTTTACTGCTATAATTCTTTATTCATAGCTGTTCAAGTAACAGACTAATAGTAAATGCACTCATTCTCTCACTGCTGAAAAATACAGATTCTAGAAAAAGAATGATATGGAGCAAAAGCTGCTTTGGGCATCCTTACAATCTCCCCCTCATACAGTCTAATCCCAACTTCCTTCTTCCCAAGACTAAATAGCCAAGGCACAACTTAAACATTTCACAATCACGAAGCAACCAGGCAAGCCTTAGCCTGGGTGGTTAATTCTAGTTGGACTTCAAAAATAACAACCTTATTTCAAAGGACTGTCTATCAGAATACCTCAACTTTAGAGATGGCATTATTTGAACTTCACATGAATTTCCCGAGTGTCTGGTGGGTAATCAGAATAGGGCCACAGACAGTACTTCACATAAAGTAGATGTGACAACTGGGTCTTGGACAATCGGCCAAGTTTAGGCAGACAGACAAATAGACAGACAGACAGACAGAAAGGAGCAGGACAGTGCAGACAAAAATGATCACATTCAGGGAAAGGGCAGAGTCAGGGTCTGGCAGGAGCAAAAGGCATGTGTCAGCACAAAGTGGGCGATACACTGAGACAGGAAAGGCAGGGTGAGCTCTGAGCTTGTTATGTAAAGATAAAAAGTTCCAATGGGATCAACAGGCAACCAGAGGCTCAGACCACAAGTCCCGTGCGTTTAAGCCAACCCCTCAGTAAAATATCAGCGCGAAATGTGCTTTATCACCGGACAAGCCTTAAAGAGCAAACACAGATTTGAATGCTCAAAGTTTTGGTTTACATGCACTGAAGTAAAAATCAGGAGCGTATAGCAATAACAGCACTGAAGTAAGTAAAACTAAATAAAAGGTTTGGGGGTTAAAAAAAAATGCATACCTTGGCATGATGTAAATCTACCCCATACATGGATAATTTTTTGGCATTTTCCAAGAAGTGCATCTCGGCTTCTGCTGGCGTCATTCCTCTGATAAGAAAGGAAAGGGTTACAACGCTGCTCTACTTTCACCTGGTGAGGATGAAATGTTTCCTGCTTAGCTCCCCACTATCTAACATGCAAGCCCCCTCAGAGGCCCCAGCAGATCTGTGTCTGCGGGAAGAAAAAGAGTAAGATGGCCTTTAAAGAAAACCTTACAAATAGACATTCTAAGCAAGAACCTAACTATCCCAGCCAGAGCAGACCCTTATTCTACTGAAGTCCCACCCAAAAACACCAACATCAGTTCCGGGAACAGTACAGAATGAAAGGGATGCTCACTGGTGAAGGCCAAACTTATGAAATGGACTGTTCTCAGGGCTTCTGCCACTCACCTGTGGCTCTTGTGCAGCTCGATCACTTTGTCTTCCAGCTCTTTCGTGTGATTGGGCGCAAAGCGGAACTCACTAATGTAGTCATTTCCACATTCATCAGGGTCGTAGTCTCCCAGTTCTGACTGGACAGTGTAGGAGCCCAACAGGGCGAGCGTGACAAAGGAGCAGGGCAGCCTCCCGGACACGATGTCGTCTCGCAGTTGTAAGCAGAGGTAGTACCTTCCGGTGACCAAGAGGACAAAGCACAAAGCCAGCATTGGGACCCGGGAAAAGGAGACCACTCAGTACATATTGTTGTTGGGCAGGCAAGTTCTCCCGATCAGATAATCCATAACACGAGGACAAATTTTCTAGCATGTATACCTTGATGTGGATATAAGGGGAAAATACCTGGCCACAAGAATATAATATTTAAGGGCATCTAAGGACAGGTCAATGTGAATAATAAAAATAGGGTTTTATTAATAAAGCAGAGTAAAAAACAAACCCTAAAGACATACTCTACTAACATCTTTTAAAATAACATTGAAAATCAAATGAAGAATCCCTAGCACATTCCCTGAAATCTTTGGTTGGGGATATTATAATATAAAAATGGTGTTCTTAAATATAATTATTAAGTCCCAGCTAGACTTAAGAAAATTTTTTTCACATTTTGCCATATGACCGAGACAAATTTCAGGTAACTCAATAGCTATGCCATCATAAAATCTGCTCCATATTTCCTACATTCCTGGTGAGGTAGTCTCTTGATATTAACTAACAATTTTGGTTTCAACTTCTTATGTTTTAAAGATAATTTCCTACGATCCAACTAATATGAAGACTAACTGAAGAATTACTACCTTAAAACCTCAGAATCTTGTCACTATAAGTAAACAGTTTTAGATTTGGGGACTATAAACATTTTCCAAATAATTTTATAAGGATAACATAAAATATTTCCATTAATAGTTGACCTATCTCTTTTGTTATTTTGCTTTTAAAGTTTCCAGATATAATGCTAATTGTGGAAGATTCCCAGGGAAGTGTTGACATTGGTAAGTTTTAACACTTTTCATGGCTCAGCATGCAGGTATAATAATAAAATACACCTTGTACCTTTTATATGAAAAATAAATTGATAACATGAAGCTGAGGACTATGAAAAAGTCTTAAGGTCCCTCTAAATATGACTCTAAGCTAATGATATAAGCAAATTCCATGTAACTCAGATGTACCAGGACTCTAGTTCATTCTATGATTGCATTAAATTGGAAAATTTATAATTTCTTATTTTAAAATACTCTTGAATAATCTTGAGAACTATTTAGTTGTATTAAGTTAAAAGTCTAATTACTTAATGGGCTCTACACTCATTACACCAGTAGATACAAGCCAACCATGCACTAAATTACAAACCCAGGTGTGTACAGGCTCCACAAACATAAATCTGTCTGGTTAATAGTTTAATACAACTAAGTTCTCAAGATTATTCAAGAGTATTTTAAAATAAGAAATTATAAATTTTCCAATTTAATGCAATCGTATAATAAACTAGAGGCCCACTGCATAAAAATTCATGCACTAAGAGAGGGCCCCTCAGGTCAGCCTGCCTGCTCTCAAAGTCTAGGAGCCCTTAGGGGTGGGAGGCACCCTTTGATCCAGGGTAGGCAACACCTCCATCGCTCATCTGCTTGCTTCCATTGCTGGCAGTGCAATCCTCAGCTGGCCCTGGTTACCTGAGCCCCGGGCGGCCCTAGGTGCCTGGGGGTCTGAGGGGACTGGGCATCGCCATCTTGTGGCTGTGGGTGCTGCCATCTTTGAGGGTGTGGCAGTTAATTAGCATATTCCCTCCCTTATTGGCCTGGGGTACCACATTTGCAAGGGTGTGACAGTCATTTAGCATATTCCATTTTTATAAGATAGGATACTATGGAGTAGTTTCCCTCCTTTACCTAAAATGTCTCTTAAATTATTTTTAATCATAGCAAGAGACTGAAGCTTTCTGAGTCAATTCCCTATTCTGAAAAACCTTCCACAGATGTGAGGTTTATACAGAAGATTCAGCAATCTGCATAAAACCTCTCTGGATGGCTCTAAACTTACTACCAAACAATGAGAGTCGATCCCGAAGTGGGATGCAGAGAAGCTGAGGATGTGCTTCACATCTGGGACCATTTCACAAAGGGACCTTCTCACACACAGAGCCCAATGACTATGCCAGAATAGCTTTACTAGATTCCTGTTCTAATGTCTTCTTTTGTGAAAAGGAATTAACCATTTCCCTTGTAGGTCATGGAAAATAAACTCATAAGTGTACATGTGTTTATGTTTATCTGAATATATGTACATTTTTTTTAAGGGCTGTCAAGTACCAGGTTGGTTATATAAAAAGCATAAGCATCCAATGATATATATTTTTACTCTAAGTTTTGAAGCATGAGCAGTAAGAATGGCTATATCAGTTAAGGCTGAATCCCATCCAATTTGGCTGTGTGGGTGGATGACAGAGTATCTCAATTTTGCTTGTCTTCCCACCGGGGTCAGCAGAGGGAAATATGGGCTTAGCACCAAAGATTCAACTACGAACAGTTATAATTTAGCAAATCTTTTCATCAGATGTCTGCTCTCACTCCGTTGCCTGTGGTTTGCCATTTGTGGATGATTACAAGGTCACCAAATGTAAGCATGCTCTTCTCTGGGGAATTTAAGAGAAGCACAACTCTCCCAAGAAGCCTGCCTTTTTACAGCCAACTTCCAAGTACCTGGTGATATCTTCAGAGAGCTGAGCGGGGTCTGGTGGGTAAAATTTTACATTAAATGAAAACTGCCAAGCACCATCTGCAGAAATGAGAGAAACATTAGAATAAAACCTTAGAAAACCCCCGTTTACTTATCATAGAGCGACCTGGACTCCAGGTTCTAGCACCCAGGCACATTTTGATCATCCATGGAAAACAGGAAAGTCTCCGTTAAATGAAGTCCACAGATAAGTCTGAAACTTCATCCAGTTTCTAATCTTCTCACCAATCAAATCCTTTTCAGGCACTTCTAACTAGGGAGGAAACTGACTACACTTCCTTTCTCAGGAACAAAGTTAAGCCTTTGGAAGAGGAGGAAAAAGTGAACATGATAATCCTCCATCGGACAAGTCTGGAATTGTGTAGAGATAATGCTCTGAAGTTCCGGATAGCTCACCTACCGCCATTATAGACATAATCCCACTTCCTTTGTCCCTTCTGCTCTGTTATTACAGGTCAAATACCAATATAACACACACATGTCAAGGGATTATTCAAGATATTTTTTGTTTAATGGGGGAGGTTTGTTGTAATGAATATTTAAGAAGGGAGCTGCTCTATGGCTGTGGAAAATATATTTTCTTACTCAGGGAACTTTTTGATTAAAGAGATACTTGAGTGTATTTATCATGCATCACCAATTTCCACACCTTCTTCTTAGCCCATGGCTTCACACACTGCTGTTCTTTATCCTGCGGTATCTGTGGACTGCCTCCCCATGTGTCCCCTCACAGGTACTTACTCTTCTGTGCAGCCCACACGTACACTGGGAACATTATTAAGCCTTCCTAAGCTCTCCATTTAGTAATAGTATCTCTAAAGTATGGTTTATCGTTATAAGGGGGAAAACCCAACCTTTTCTTCTTTCTTATATTTTATCTTATGTGGCCGCTCCTTTAACTTATATTCATCCTGTTCTTTTATTCTGGTCTTTGAGTGCAGTGACTCACTGAAGTCTGGGTGCTCCTTCGCTGGGACACTGAATACATTTGTTCCCTTCACCCAGTAGCCACACCAGAAGTGCTCGGTGCAGGGTCTCTTGTCTTCTCAATGCACTGCTGAAAAATTCCCTCAAGACTCCACGCTTCGGTACTGGGAGGCTTTCATCTATGCCTCAGATAGCCATAGTCTTCCTTTCACTGTCTGTGACCTCCCAATTCAACTCTTAAGTGTCAATACTCTCCTACGACTTCCAACCGCTCCCTCTGCCCAGTAAGAAACTTCTGGAAAATCCTTTTTTTTTGTATGAGTCCTTCCCAAACATTTAGAAGGGACAATATTGCATATCCTAGCTTCTCTCTTTGTATTAGTCTCTTGTGTATGTGACAAATACTCAGCTGCCTAGGTTACCTACATCGGGCTCATTTATCCTAGTTTATTTGACAGACTACCACTCATGTTACACTTAAAGTTCCCCATGGCAGGGCTCTACCATGAAGTGTCTTATAAAGGACTTGGCATGAGAGCAAGTATAATTGGATGGCTGATATTATTTTTAAACCACTTAGAACATTACTGAAACATTGACTATAAGAATTCTAAGCTATAAAATACCCGTCAATCAAATATACTTCTAGTCATTATTTTGCCACTTCTCAAAAGAAGACCTTTTGTTATTCTAAAAATAGTCTGACTTGGTTTTACCTTCCTATTGATTTCTATTCACTTTTTGCTCAAATAGGTCCCTTCCATGCCAGATACTGGTGAGGTTCAGAAAGAGCTAGCTACTCCCCCCCAACCCCACCACCACCCAAGCAAGTGAATTTAAAACTAATGAATTAGTTATGGAAAATGGGCTTATTGCTTTTTAATAATTTTTAAAGTATGCCTTGAATTCAATTTATCAATGTGTGTGACTAAATAATCTCATAATAAATTCAGGGTAAGCATTCTAAGTTGGAAACTAAAACGTAATAAAAGTGTAAGAAAAATATTTAAATGCAAAAATCCTCAATGCAGGAATGCAAGTTTCAGATTATAGTGGACCTAAGAAGCCTCTGAGCTGCTTATTAAAAATAATTTCTGCCAAGGCCAGGTGGCTCAATAGGTTAGAGTGTCATCCTATACATCAAAAGGTGGCAGGCTGAACCCCAGTTAGGGCGCATATGGGAAGGCAACCCATAAATGTTTCTCTTTCACATCAATGTCTCAATCTCTCTCTCTCTCTCTCTCTCTCTCTCTCTCTCTCTCTCTCTCTCTCATTTTATTCTAAAATCAATAAAAAACATATTATTGGGTGAGGATTAAAAAAAAAAAAGTCAATTCCTAGGCTCCATCCAGAGAACTTTATTCCAGAGATTTGGAATATGGCCTACAAACCTATGATTTTAATAAACTTATAAACCTCCTTTTGTTTCTAATACAGTGAGCATGGAGATCACACTGAAAATCACTAATTCTGAGGAATCCAAATAACTACCAGGCTTCATAGGACATTATTTTCAATCAGTGAAAAAGTTTAAGAAAACTACCATTGACACTGGGAGGACATGACTGCAATGAACAGGCTTATTGCCTGTATCTGCTCAGATGATGGTCCTGGTTAGGCACAGAAAAAGGAACAGTTTGAGTGTATTAAAATGATGCTCCTCTATGCTGACATGAATTTTAAATAAAAAAATTTATAATAAATATAAAACTGAAATTGAAGAGCTCATCCTTATGAAAAAAATTAAATTTTAGCCTTCTATGCCTGCCAAATCTTAAAATCTCTAAATATACTGCATTTATAGCATAAGTTACTATATATCGTATACTCTATATCATGACATTATTATATCATAATCATATCACAGAATGCAGTATATTTAAATGTTTTGCTATCAGGTATGGACAAAAGATGACTAGAATTAGAATTTTTTCATACAAACTCTTTGTTTTCAGAATTTCCTATTTCTCATAAATTTGTAACTGAAAATCTGTACCAACTTGACTGCCATTCTCCTTTCTAGAGTCATACCCTGGCCCTCAGCATATAAAGGATGGAAAACCTTTTATCACTTGTATTAGGAATAGGAGGAGGTGATTCATTAAGAATAATGGTTTGATAACAACTTCTCTGCCTTGGGTGAATGTAAATTTTGTGGGAAAAGAGCATTTTAGTGTATTAAAACAATGAGGAATATAGATAAAAACATAAATATTTTAAAATTCCCACTTTTTCTTTGTCTTCCTTCCTTTATCTGCAATACTCAGTCTATGTTGCTGCTGCACCCACTGCCTGATCTGCACAATGAAAATACCCTTTAAATCCCATGTCTGACTGTCCCTTTGGCTTTCTCCCCTTAGAAAGGAAGAGACAGAGTTAAGGGGAAAAATTCTATCTAACAAAGAAAAGAAAATTTATTGTTTATACAGCCTATCTTATTACAGTATTTTGACTTATTGTGGACGTTTAATATATTTTCCAAGTGCTTTGAAACTATAAATCACCCAAATACAAAATAGCATTTCATTAGTTAGGGGAATACAGAGGACTCTAGGCACATAAAATGTTAGAAGCTATGTTCAGCATATCTGCTTTGAAAAACTGCACAAAGGGGTTCTTAGAATATAATCATCTTAAATTTTTTATTTGGACTCTCCTACTTACCATACTCATAGAGCTGTCCCTGTTTTCAATCCCTACTTGTCAAACTAATCATGATCAAGTTTCTGGTTTATGAATACATCCAATTTCTCAAAAATGTGGTAAAGGTGTTATCATTGTAATAAATAATCAGCAGACTCTTTAATATCTAGAAGTATAGTGGCTTTTTTCTTCTTTTGTGATATTTTCTAGTATTAAACCATTTCAAACTGCTCACTATTAATTACTTCTTATTAAAAGTTGGGGTACTTTAATATTTTACACATTCAAAGGCACTAACAGTAAGCTGTGGAAAACTGAAATGTGAATGTTCTTATTAATAAACCGGTCTTACATTTATACACTAAAATTGGTTGTTCAGGAAAATTAATCTAGATTTGACTGATAAAAATAATTGCTTTTAAACACTAAATAGTTATTTAAAATTATGAAGGTTATCCAAGTTTATGGTAAAAGAGGGTTGAAAATAAAAAATAAAAATAGGTTAAAAATAATCATTTTAAAATTCCTCTTTCTCTACCCTCCAACACTGCAATGCCATTTCTGGAGGTATTTACTGTTAATATCTTTTGTGCTCTTCAGAAAATTTTCCACACCCCTTTATATAGGTAACTTTTAAAAAACAAATATGATCTGTCTCAAACAATAAAGAATTAAAAAATAATATTAAAAGTAAAAAAGAATAGTGTATTTTCCAAGAATAATTTAAATATATTAGTCAATGATTTTACATATTATATTATAATATACAATATTATAATATGTAATATAACATTATAATATATGTTATTATATATAACACATTATAATATAATATTCACATATTATATATTTTATATTATAATAATATTTATTTTATATTATAATAAAAATATGATTAGTGTATTAACTTCTCACTAATGAAAGCTAAGACATATTTATTCTGCTTCATTCTATGTAGTAGCTGCTTAGTATTTAAAGGTATGGGTATTCCCTGAGCGACTTAATAATTTCTTCATAAATGGATAAATTATGTTGCTTCTAATTTTTTGCTATTACAAATTATATCCTAATGAACTTTCATGTAATACATGCATTTCCTTCTCTTCTGCATGTGCTGAATAAATTTCTATAAGTAAAATTAGTGGGCTAACGGGTAAGTGCATTTTAAATTTTATAAAAACTTTCAAAAAGTGCCTTCTGAAAGGGTTGTACCAATTTATATTTCTACAAATTTGGTTACATAATGCCAGTGTAAGGTATTATTATTATTTTAAATATATTTTTATTGGCTTCAGGGAGAAAGGAAGAGGAAGAGAGAGAACATCAATGATGAGAAAGAATCACTGATTGGATGCCTCCTGCATGCCCCCTTACTAGGGATAGAGCTAGCAACCCAGGTAGTTGGCCACAGTTGAATCTGGGACCCTTCAGTCTGTAGGCTGACACTCTATCCACTGAGCCAAATGGGCTAGAAGTCAAGGTATCATTAAACTTTGAAAATCTCCTGTTACTCTGAATAGGTGAACTATGCCTCATTGTAATTTGCATTTAATTATTAGTAATATTCTGCACATGTTTAATACTTATTAGCTACTTGTACTTCAATTTTTTGAGTTGCTCATGCAATGGTTTTATCCACTAAGTAAAATGCATTTCTCAACTTGTCTTTAGGGACCAAGAAAAGAAGTTGTCACCACACAGTAAACTTTAGTCTCATTTGTTATTCCATTTCTAAATCATCAAATGACTATTACTTTTAGCTACACTTTTAATAATAGAGTTTGGAACAGTTTAAATGATTAAGTACCAATTGGAGCATCACTTGATTAAATCCCATTTCACATCTGTGTACAGGCAAGGGAATAAGTCAAAAGCCATAATTATTTTATTCCTGAGTTGTGATAATTAAAAATATGATCTGAACTAGACTAACCTGCCCCTAGGATAAAAATTTGAGATTTTATTCTGTTTTTCAAAACACTGTATTCACATCAGCCATGCAAATAGGCACTACCAATTCAGACAACCCCACTCTGAAAATATTCACATTTTCACATATAATAATCCAAAAGAACTTACTTCGAATCTGTTTTTTAATTTCCTTAGCAGGGTCCAACCAATTCTGAAAAGGAAATGATAGCTTGAATTTGAATCAGAGAAGAGTAAACATGACTCAATGTTGACCCAGCAGGGACACCCACTCCGTGTATTTGAGAGTGAGTGGCTGCTGGGAGGCCCTCCAAGCTGGGCCCTTCCCCCACAGCTGCTGCCCCTTTGCCAGGTCCTGCCAGGGTCCAGGCACTGGTCTAGTGGGGAAAAAATGTGGTGTCCACGATTCACTCTAACAAAATTATTTTCTTTTACAATCAATGACTTCAGGGACTCAAGCTAGTAGAGAAACAGAGTAGATAAAAACCCAAAACAAAAAACAATGGATTTTATGTTCAAACAAATTACTAGAATAAACTAAAGATACATGTATTTTGATACAACATTATCCCAGCTATTCAGTCCCACACAGTGACTTCTGAGATTAAAAAATTCTCAGGCGCCTACTTAGAAAACTTCCCTAACAAATGAATGCTTGCTTGAGATTTAAGAATTTCCTCATCATTCATTCACTGCACACCACCACAACATGTAACATTTCTGAACAAAATTTCTGTGACTCCGTTTTACACCAATATGATGGGAACAATTTCTTTTCCCTTATTGTTCAGGTAGTTGTGGGATTCATGAGGCAATCTCTGAAGAGACTGCATTATTCAGGTATAAGAGAGTAGAGTCTACAGAGGTATTGCATTAAACATTAAATACCTACTAACTACAGGAGACAAGTGTCAGGTCAGCCAACAACTCATCTCAATATTCTGATTTGGCAAGAATATGGAAAGCATAATAAGATGAAGTGAGGATAGGAGAGCAGCCTCGAGAACGGTTTCTATAGAAGTATCAATGTATTTGATATTCATTGGCTCATAGCCACTGAAATATATCATCACACACAGAAAAAAGCAACATATAAAATGCTTTCCTGGAACCATAAACAACTGAAGAGAAACATAATCTTACGGTTTCCACAATATTCGAGATTAAAGGAAGCTGTTAATAATTTCCTCTATGAAGAAATAAGGGGATCACAGCCTTTAGGGGCCCAGAGGAGTAAATGTGGGAGTGTGAGGAGAGGAGAGGTGGAGGAGAGTTACCAATTCAATTCTCCTTCACATTCTGGCAGTAATGAGCAGCAGCTCGAGCCCTAGCATGCTGTACTGCTTGGAGTTACTCACCTTCTGGTTTTCAGTATCTCGATATGTAAGCCCAAAGTAATCTTTTTCTAGCAAGTTCAGATGTTCACATACTTTGTCAAACAGCACTTGGCCTCTGGAGCGTTTCTATGGAGAACAAAGCATAAAGAGAAGTCAACACACTCAACGAAGTTCTCTCAATTGCCATGAATAAAAAGAGGCAACATTTAAAATCCTGCTTGCTGTAACTATACAGAAAGTGATGGATGGATGGTCAAGTGTGATCGCACTTTACCACCTCCTTTTCCACTAGTACAAAGGCTCAATTAAGTGGACCTAAACCTGCAAATGCCTGTCCCTATAAAAAACAAGGAATCATTAGTGTCCCCTGAGTAAGTACAGCTCACCTGCAGATAATTTCTAACAGAAGTAGCTGGGAATGGTGTGGTGCTTGGAGGCCCCAAATATCTTGTGAAATGTAAACATCCCAACAGGAAAAGAGAGTATTTAAGGACCAACAAACGCCATGTTTCAGCCAACCCAAACTTAATTCCCATATTACCAGATTCTGAGCCTGAGAAGAACGAACCCTATTCCTTGTCTTAGCCCTCCCCTTAAAACTTTCTCTATCAATCCTTACTTAAAAATTATAGCCATGAATCACTTTCCAAAGCCCATAAACTACTTCATTAGTTTATTTTTGTTTTGTTTTTCTGCCCCAAACCTCAGTTTTATATTACAGTATTCAATATTCTCCTAATTTGATAAAAATTCTTCCTACTCAACATAATAAAATGTCCATTAAATATAACGATTTGTCATTTATAAATAAAAAAATATAAATGTATATGTTATATATTTGGCCATTAAGCTGTCATTTGGAGAAAGGAAAAAAGTAGTCATCTGGGGGAGAAAATCCATCAATTTAATTTACTGTAATACACAATTATTATCTTCATTTAATCCTTCAAAGGTCTTTCAACATGGCCTTGGATTCTAAAATGATTTGGCAACAATTAAGCTAAACTATTTTTGTGTGTGTAGTTCCAAGATTTTTCATCTGATACAGTAAGCATATTTGTCTTTAAGATTTAATGTACTAATAATAACAAATATGGAAATTGATAAACAATGTACATGCCAAAATAATAAGTATTCAGAAGACTCCTAAATGGTGTGTATTACTATGTATTGGAAATTATATTGGAAATTAATCACTCAGTCCCCTCAAACATGACTATTTGGGAAAAAGAATATATGTATGACAGAAAAGTAAAGCTTTAATTGTAGCTTGCTAAATAATCAATGATCTATTTGAAGAAAGTTTAATCGTGTATGAAAATAAATTATAAGTTAGCAAAACTACATAACATTGTTCAATGGACAGAAATAAGTGGGATAATGAAATGCTGCTCACCGGTTTTAATCTTGTTTATAGATAATAGCATATTATTTCTGAATAATGCTCAGCAATTTATAAAGTTTTTACAAAAAAATTGGTTCTTCCAATGCTTCTATTGGTACTATCTCCCGTTACCAGATAAGAACACAGAAGTTCAGAGAAGTTAGAGGCAGTTTTAAGCAGGTAACTCTGGGTTTGAGTGTTCATTATGTCTCTTGCAGGGATGTGAACTCCTCTGTTTTATCTTCTATAAAATGAGTCTGATACCACCTACCACATACCAAGCACTCCACAAACGTCAGCTATTACAGTCCAAGTGATTGACAGATGGCAGAACATGCAATGTAGAACTAGGCATTTCTGCTGTAGGAGCACATATACCACTTCCTACAGTGTCAATGCACTCTTTCTTTAGCTATCAATTTCCTGCTTACTACTTAATTTGCTTTAGCTAGACCACAATATTTACACATACAACATACAAATACACATCAGTGTCTGGCCAAGTACTTTCTCAATGAGTCAAAACAAACAAAGCAAACACAAATAAATACACATTTCTCCTATCTCTTCTGACCCAGCAGACCACAACCAGGCCCTCAGTGGAAGACTTTTTTTCTTTTTTTTTAATGTCATCAGCTGCCTTGAGCATTGTTTTCATTAGCTGTCTTCTGACTGCTGTTTTTCCTTTTGTCTTACAAGCGACATTGATAAGATCAAGCACAGACCACTATTCTATGTGGCTCTTAGTTTTCTGGCTTCTCAGAATTTGATTTCTATTAATGACTCATAGTTACCTCTTGACTAGAATAGATTTTGTCTTACTGAATATTTTAAACACTTTTCCTGAGCGATGGAAGCTGCAGCCAGAGCTGTCAGAGGACAGGCCTGGAAGGGTCTATCCCAGTGGTCTTCAAACTGCGACTCCTGAGCCACACGCGGCTTTTGGCCCCATAAGTGTGGCTCTTCCACAAAATACCACGGCCTGGGCGAGTCTATTTTGAAGAAGTGGCATTAGAAGAAGTTTAAGTTTAAAAAACTTGGCTTTCAAAAAGAAATTTCAATCGTTGTACTATTGATATTTGGCTTGTTGACTAATGAGTTTGCCGACCACTGGTCCTGATACACCAAGGTTGCTGGTTCCATCTCCAGTGAGGGCACATACAAGAAGCAACCAACAAATACTTAAATAAATGGAATAACAAATCAATGTTTCTCTCTGTGTGTCTCTCTTCCCACTTCCTCTCTCTAAATTCAATCAATAAAAAAAAAGATGTTCAAACATCGTATGTTATTAGAAAAACTGCAATTAAAATAAGATACCCTTACACACCTATTAAATGGCTAAAATTCAAAATACAAATACCAACAAATACAAAGTTGTGGAGGACCAGAAACTTTTATTCCTTGCTGGTAGAAATAAAAGTGGCTGATTGTACAGAAACTTTGGAAGTCAGTTTATGAGTTCTTATGAAATTAAAAAAACATGCCGAAACCAGTTTGGCTCAATGGATAGAGCATCGGACTGCGGACTGAAAGGTCCCTCCTGGGTTCGATTCCGGTCAAGGGCATGGACCTTGGTTGCGGGCACATCCCCAGTAGAAGGTGTGCAAGAGGCAGCTGATCGATGATTCTCTCTCATCGATGTTTCTAGCTCTCTATCCCTCTCTCTTCCTCTCTGTAAAAAAATCAATAAAATATATTAGAAAAAAAAGAAATTAAAAAACACACTCTTACTGTATGATCTAACCATCAAGTTCCTTGATAATTACAAAATTTATGTACATATATTAGAAAAAACCTGTACATAAATGTTTATAGCAATTTTATTCAACATTTTAAAACATGGAAGCAATTAAGATGTCCTTCATTAGGTGAATGGATAAGTAAATTGTGGTACAATCCAGACAATGGCATATTACCTAGCACAAAAATGAAATGAGCTATCAAGCCATGAAAAGACATGAAGGGACCTCAAATATATATTACTAAATGAAAGAAGCTAAAAATTGTACAATTCCAACTTTATGACATTCTGGAAAAGGCAGAACTATGGAGACAAAAGAAAGATCAGTGGTTGTTAGGATTACATGGGGAAGAAGGGATGAACAGATGACACAGGGAGAATTTTTAGGGCAATAAAACTACTTAGTATGATACTATAATGTTGGATACATGTCATTATTTACTTGTCAAAATCCCCATAGAATATACCACACAAAGAGTGAACCCTAATGTAAACTATGGATTTCAGTTAATAGTTTGTGCCAATACTGGTTCATCAACTGTACCAAATACAGCACCCTACAGCAAAATATTAAAAATAGGGAAAGAGGGAAGAGGAAGAGGACAGTGTGAGGGTTTTATGAGAATATTCTGCTCAGTTTTTCTGTAAACCTAAAATTGCTCAAAAAGTCTATCAGTAAAAAAGTACATACTGATAAAAATATTTAATGTCATCTTTTAAAATGTTAATAAAAATAATTTGTCAAGTACTTTAAAAGAGTAAATGAAGTTAAACTCCAAATGATTTTACTTTGCTTAAAAATGTTGTTAGGAGCAAACATTTTTAAAAAATTAAATAATGTAAGTGACAACACATACAACCTCTTGGATAGGCTACCATCCTTCTGCATCCCAAGTGTACACACACACACACACACACACACACACACACACACACGCACACACAGGAACCTCACGTCTAAAATGCCTGCGAGCTAATATTTGGTAAGGAATAGGAGCAGGGTGACAGATCAAAGTGATTCCTCATGAGCTACATTGCCCAACCCAGTAATCCAAACTACAAACAACTGAATTGATGCATTCATTAGCTAAGGTTCAGAGGCTTTCTCTGGACTACATTCAAGAGAATATGTCTATCATCGCCACTCAAATACAGCAGTTGAAACAAGCTTTTCTGTGGCATTAATGAAACTTCCTACAAGTCAAAGGTCACTCAAGATTTTTACAAAAATGTTTGTAAAACACTGGTTCTTAATATATGGGTTATTAACCGGCATCACTTGGAAAGTCTGTATTAACATGTTTATTTTTACTTGTTCACTTAGAGGGGCAATTTTTAAAAATTAATTTTAACACACTTTCATATGGGGAATTTCAAACCTACTAAAAATATAGTGTAATGAAAACACTCCCAGTTTCAACAAATGCCTTGAGGTTCATCTATAATTCCTCTCATCTACCCCTCCCCCCCCCTTAATTGTGAAGCATCTCAGCCAATATTACCTTTGTATGTCCCAGTATGTAACTCTACTCTTTAAAAAAATGTCATCTGAATACCTTTATCAAATCTAAACAAAATTAGCAATTAGTCCCTTATGTTATAAAATACCTAGCCAATAATGTAACTTTCCCAATTATCTCCTTTCCTTTTTTTTTTCAGTTTGATAAGTTCATACATTGCAAACTCGCCCTTATATTGGTTTTCCTCTTGATATTAATTTGTCTAAGAGACCAAACCATTGGCTTATAGAGTTCCCTCAGTCTACACTTGGCTGTTTGCATCTCCACGGTGTAATTTCTTCAGTCTCCTATATTTCCTGTAAATGGAAGTTAAATCTAGAAGCGTGATCAGATTCCGATTGAACTGATTTTCGTAAGTGATACTGTGTAATTTTATCAGCAGGCATAAAATGAACCTTGCCTTTCTGATGATATTAGCAATCACTGGTGAGGTTGCAAGATGGGACTATTCTAATACTAATCATCTCTGTTCTCTTTA